GCAGCCAGGCATGGTGGCGGATGCCTTTAATCCCAGCACTCGGGAGGCACAGAGGCAGGTAGATCTCTGAATTTGAGGTCACTAGAGAGTGAGTTCCAGGACAGCCAGGGCTATTCAGAAACCCTGTGTCAAAACAAAACAAAACAAAAAACTCAATTACAAATGCTGGGAAGGGAGGCTGAAGAGATGGCTCAGAGGTTAAGAGCACTGGCTGTTCTTCCAGAGGCCCTGAGTTCCATTCCCAGCACCCACATGGTTTCTCATAATCATCTGTAATGAGATCTGATGCCCTCTTCTGGCCTGCAGGGATACATTTGGGCAGAATACTGTATACATAATAATAATGAAAAAAAAACACTGTATACATAATAATTAAATAAAACAAATCTTAAAAAAACAATGCTGGTAAGGGTACAGGGAAAGGAACCCGTTTTGGTCACTTTTCTCATTGCTGTGACAACATGGCCAAGAAGCAAGTTTTGGGAGAAAGGGTTGCCTGTGGCTGCCAGTTGGAAGAGATGTAGTTAGTTCATCAGGGTGGGGAAGGCAGGGCATCGGGAGCATTGGCTGGTCGCAGTGCATGCCCAGTCAGGTAGCAGAGAGTGATGAGTGCTTGTGCATAGTAGCTTTTTCTCACCGAGGTAATCCAGGACCTCAGTCAATGGAATGGTGAAGCCCATATCTAATTCAGGTTTTCCACCACAGTTAATCTAGTCTACATCTTTCATATATTGTTGATCAGAATAAAAATTGATATAGACCTTCCATGAGTCTACGTAAGTATGGAGGTACCTCAAAAAAACAAACAAACAAAAAAAAAAAACAGTAGGAACAGTACAATCCCATGACCAGAGATCTAGACAAAGGAATTGCCATGTGTTGAAGAGATATCTGCACTAGCATGATTGTGGTACTGTTCATTAAAGCCAAGATGTGGAATTAAGCTCGGGGTTCATCAGTGGGTGACTGGACGATGAAAACATGGCGTGGACAATCGAAGGGGTCCATACCTGCTATCTCAGCCACTTGGGAGGTGGAGGCAGTAGATGAAGAGTTCAAGGCCACCCACAGCTACAAGGAGAGTTTGGGTCCCGCCTAGGGTACATGAGGCACTATCTAAACAACAAAAGGAATACTGCCATGAGGATTGCACCTGTGTCGTTTGAGACACACTGGGATGCAGTCCCAGATGTGAAAACAAATCAGGCACACAACCATTCATACCATGTGCTCTCATTTACACATAAGCTAAAAAGCGGACCTGAGAAATACAGAGCCATGCTGGGCAAGGTGATGCATGCCGCTTTTAATCCCAGCATTCGGGAGGCAAGGGCAGACAGATGGTTGTGAGTTCCAGGACAGCCAGGACTAGAAACCCTGTCCAGAGCCAGGTTTGGTTGGCATAAGCCTGTCATTGCAGCTACTTGGGTCGATGGGGGGAGAGGATTCCAGGCAAAGAGTTCAATGCCAGCACAGGAAAGTTACCGAAACCTTGTCTTCAAAAAAAAAAAAGGAGAGTGACTTGGCAGGCCGGGGCAGGCTGGTTGCAAGTTTAAGGCCAGCCTAAGTTTAAGGCCAGGATATAGAGCGACTTCCAAGTTAACCTGTCAGTCTTAGTCAGAACTTGTCTCAAAGGTAAAAAGAGGTGGACTGGAGATACTGCTCAGTGGTTAGAAACATACACTGCTTTCCCAGAGGACTTGAGTTCAATTCCTCGTACCCCTGTCAGGCATCTCCCAACTACCTGCGACTCCAGCTCCCGAGTTCTGATTCTTCTGGAGACACCTGCACTCTGTGTACATTACTCCCCCCTCAGTAAACATAATTAAAAAATAATGTCAGCCAGCACGGTGTCACATGCCTTTAATCCCAGCACTTAGGAAGCAGAGACAAGTGGGTCTCTGTGAGTTCGAGGCCAGTCTGGTCTACAGAGCGAGTTCCAGGACAGCCAGGGCTACACAGAGAAACCCTGTCTCAAAACAAACAAACAAGCAAACAACCCCCCCAAAAAACAACAAAAAAACCAAAAAAAAAAACCCAAAACAAGTAACAACAAAAAACCAAACCCCACAAACAAAACAAAAACCCCACAAAAACAAAACAAACAACAACAATAAAGTAAAAAGAGGGCTGGAGGTACAGCTCAGTGGTAGTGTGCTTAGCTTGAGTGTGTAAGGGCCCACTCAGGTCAGTCCCAGCACTTATATTCATACCCAGTCAAGAATATGGGTTAGCAGTTGGGCGGCGGCGGCGGCGGCGGCGGCGGCGGCGGCGGCGGCGGCGGCGGCGGCGGCGGCGGTGCACATACTGGTCTTACAATTTTTCACTTGTTTTCTTACTGTCTTTTTTTTTTTTAAGATTTGTTTATTTATTTATTATTATGTATACAGTGTTCTGCTTGCATGTATGCCTGTGTGCCAGAAGAGGGAGCCAGATCTCATTACAAATCGTTGTGAGCCTCCATGTGGTTGTCCAGGATTGAACTCAGGACCTCTGTAAGAGCAGTCAATGCTCTTAACCTCTGAGCCATCTCTGCAGCCCGAATTCTTTGGTTCCTATAGATAAGAACACAAATATAGAGGCCAGGTAGTGGTGTCACACACTTTAAAAAATTTTTTTTTAAAGATTTATTCATTATGTATACAGTGTTCTGCCTGCATGTATGCCTGCAGGCCAGAAGAGGCACCAGATCCCACTATAGATGGTTGTGAGCCACCACGTGATTGCTGGGAATTGAACCTCTGGAAGAGCAGTCAGTGCTCTTAACCTCTGAGCCATCTCTCCCAGGTGTCACACACCTTTAATCCCAGCACATGGGAGGCAGAGGCAGGCAGATCTGTATGAGTTCAAGGCCAGCCTGTCTACAGAGGGAGTTCCAGAACAGCCAGGGCTATACTGTGAAACCCTGTCTCAAAAAAACAAACCAACCAACCGAAACAAAACACATAGATATAATACAAATGTATGCATACAAAGTCAAAATAATTATTAATGCTATATATGCTTTCCCACTATCATAGTTTTTGCTAACTTGACCTAAGCTTAGACATACTTGGCAAAAGGACCATCTCAATTCAGGAATTGCCTCCAACAGAGTGGTCTATAAGGAACTCTGTGGGGCATTTTCTTTTTTTTTTTTTTTTTTTCAATTCGGAGCTGAGGATCAAACCCAGGGCCCTGCGCTTGCTAGGCAAGCACTCTACCACTGAGCTAAATCCCCAACCCTCGGGGCATTTTGTAGGAGAGCCCAGCCCACTGTGGCTCTGGGCTGTATAAGAAAGCAAGTCAGTAAGCAGCTGAACTCCTGTAGAATCTATGCTTCAGTTTCTACTTCAAGAAACTCCCAGCACTCGGGAGGCAGAGCCAGGCAGATCTCTGTGAGTTCAAGGCCAGCCTGGGCTACAGAGCGACAAACAGAAACTGCCTTGGCCGGCCTGGATGATGGACTGTAAAATGTTAAGATGAAATAAACCTTTCTTCCCCTATTCGGTTTTGGTGATTGTTTTTTTTTTTTTTTTTTTTTTTTTTTTTTTTTTGGTTTTTCGAGACAGGGTTTCTCTGTGTAGCATTGCGCCTTTCCTGGAACTCACTTGGTAGCCCAGGCTGGCCTCGAACTCACAGAGATTCGCCGGCCTCTGCCTCCCGAGTGCTGGGATTAAAGGCGTGCGCCACCACCGCCCGGCCTTGGTGATTGTTTTTATCATAGCAATAGAAAAGCAAATTAGAACACATGCCCATAATTGTCTGGAAGAGCTCACACATTTTTCTCTTTGTAGCTACTGGAACTTCTTTGTAGACTAGGCTGGCCTCGAACTCATGGATCAGCCTACCTCTGTTTCCCAAGTGCTGGCATTAAAGCATCACCACTGTCTGGCTGAGTTCACACACTTTAACCTCAACTGTCAAAACATGAGTGCACAGTTTGTTTTCAGCACAGGGCGAAAAAGTTGCTCCGCCATAAGGGGGTAATAATCGACCAGGCCTGCCTATCACCCAAGTAACGGAGTCAAGCCGCTTTCTCAGAAAGACTTTGCAAAAGGGTGAGCGAGAAGTTAATGAGTAAGTCTGTTAGGCCACTTAAGAATAATGAAAACATGAAAATGAACAAGGGAAGGGCCACAATCTGGTATGCAGCAATCGTTAATGGAGAGCAATGGTGGATGCAGGTGCCAGGGCGTGTGTGAAGAGTCTGGAATCAGGACCTTCCGGCACCGTTCTACTTGAGATAATGACCGTGGACGAGCCCAGGGACTCACTGCGGTTTCCGAGTCAATGAAGTTCAGTGAAGCTCAAGCGAGCTCCAAAGCAATGACTACGTTAATATTCCTTGTTTCTAGCATGCTCTATGAGGAGCTCGTCCAGTGACAGAAACTCCACAAGGGCTCGACGGATCGTAGCTACCCACTGCCAAGATTCTGAAAATAGCCCCGGGGCTCTACTGCCGACTACGAGGGCAGGTGTGGGGCGCATGCGCGCAGACGCACGGGCTGACCTCCTGGTGGCACCCGGAGGAAGGCGACCTTCTTCCCGACAGCCCGCGGAACAGAACGGGTGGGGAAACGGTATTCTCGCGAGGTCTCACTCGGCGGCGGCGGCGGCGGAAGCAGCGGGCACGTGACTGTCTTAGGCCGCCTTCGCCTTGCCCCCTCCCCCTTCTCGGAAACCCGGCCCCCTCACCCTTCGCCCACCCCGGAGCCGCGGTAATGGACCGTTTGGGTTCCGGAATTCTCTGGGATCCCATCACTGGTACCAGGGTAGCGGGACCTGGCGGAATCCGGTTTTGTTTGGCGAAGGCAGAGGGGGTGGTCAAGATGGGGGGGTTGGGGGGGGGAGGCAGCTTCCTTCACCTAGGAAGGAGGCGGGGCGGAGAAGGGATGGGAATGGGGGGGGGAAGTCACGTGGGGCGTGGCGCGCGCTGCGTGCGCGCGGCACCTGATCCGTCGCCCCGCCCCCTCTTCCTGCGGGGCGGGGGGTTGGGAGGAGGGGCGTCAAGATGGCGGCGGGGAGGTAGGCAGAGCCGGACGCTGCTTCTGCCGCCGCCGCCGCCGCCGCCGCCGCCTCCGCTCCTGTTGCCTCCGGCTCCTCACGCGCTCACGGACCGGGAGAAGGTATTCCGGCGTCGGCTCCGGCGGGGAAAGTAAGTCCTTCCCTCGGCCCTTTTCTCCTTCCACGCTCGTCCGTCCGGACAGCCTCCCACTCCCACCAGCGCTCCTCGGGGTCCGTGTGGGGCCGGTTGTGGCGGTGTGTGTGTGGGGGGGGGGAGGCGGCCACTTCACGGCTGTCCGGGCGTCTCTCGCCCGCTGCTCGTTCTCATCCCGCCGGCCGCCCCGTTGGTTCCGGCGTCCTCTGCCAGGCAAGCGCCGGCTCTGTGGGAGTCCCGCTGTCCCGTGCCGGAGAGCAGCTCCGAGGCCGGGCAGCCCGGCCCTGCGCACGCTGACTCCACGGGGGATCGCCTCCTTCGCCTTCTCCCCTCTCACGGACCCGAGACGGGTGGCGAAAGTCAGGCGGAGACCCTGCTCGCGTCTCTCCGGCCCATTGCTCCCGATTTCGGGAGGCGCGAGGGAGGCACCGGGACGCCCTTCCTGGACCTCGATCCCTGGCGGGTGGGGTGTGTGGAACACGTGGGGGACACCTTCACGTCTCGCCGTGGTGGGTTTGCCTATCCCTGAAGTGAGTTCGGCTTCAGACTCCGAATAGAGTCCATGAGGTGAGCGATGGCGGTTGGGCATCTGTTCACCTTAGCAGTGTTGGATGTAGTGAGCACCCAAGTTCCTCAAAGCAGTGTCTGCTGGTGTTTTCCCGGGAGTGGCGTGGGATGAGCTCCGCCGCTCCGAAGCCTTGGATTTGTCCGAACCCGTGTGATTGTTGCTTTCCTGACCCCGGCATCCAGCTCCTCCCCTTTCTGTCCCGGCTTTGTGCTTCAGTTTGGTTAATGTTTGCGGGCCACTAACTTGATGCTCTCATTTAGTAAGCTCTTTTTATGTGATTGCTCCGTTTACTGTGGGATGCTTTTGTTCGGGGGAGTCGCTGGTTGAGAAGCGTGCGCGAGGGGGGGAAGGTTGGAGATAAAATGAGAACCCAAGAAAGCATCGTTTTAATCCATTGAATTGCGCAGCCAATTGTAACGGCACCCGGAAGTTTGTGCTGAACACGTGTTGAGGGAAGGCTAAAAACGGGTCCCCTTTGACCTTTAAACGTCGAATGTTTGCCATGTATGTTGAGTAAAATGTTCATATTCTCTAGACTTTGAGAATTAAAGGTGGAAGAAGGCTTCTAAAGAATCATCCGGGAGGGGCCAGCGAACTGTCAAACTCAAAGTGTCCTAGAGCGGGTCAACTTATTTAGCATTTGCATAGAGTTCTACCGGTTAACAGTCTTAATGCCCCAAAGTCAGGGTTGATTTTCATAAGCATTGGGGAAAGAATCGTTGTGCAAACGATGTATTTACACAGAATTTCTAGGATGAGACGGCATTTGCCTCTGGTGACTTCAGTGGGACATTAATATTGATAGTGCAGGAACGTTAATTTCCATCTTTATATAGTATTTCCAGCTGATGGGAGAAGACTTCTTTCTTCTGGCTTCGACTTGCAGTTTAACTTGATTCCGTGCAACTCCCTTCAGAATTTTAAATCCAGCTTCAATTTAGTTGCTGTATAAATGTTGAAAAAGAGAGCCTATGTTTATTGGTTTATTGAATAATGTTATGTGTTAAGCACTCTTATATGTCTTAAATTCTTTGAAGTACTACTTAAAAGTGGCTGATACGGTGTGGGTCATTTTGGCTTTTTGAGACAGGGTTTCTCTGTGTATACCCGGCTTGTCCTAGAACTCACCCTGTAGACCAGATTGGCTGTGAACTCACAGAGATCACCTGCCTCGGTCTTTCGAGTGCTGGTATTATAGTCCAGTGTACCACTGTCCAGCTGAGAATGGTGATTCTAAGCTTTTATTTTTTTAGGGTTTTGTTTTTTGAGACTGACTCCTTATAATTTCACTCTGTAGCCAGGCTAGCCTCCAAACCAAGATCTTATCTTGTCACAACCTCCCCGATGATGGGATTGCAGGCTTGCACTGTTATGTCCAGTCTTTTATGTGCTTTAGAAAAGTTGTGCTTCAAAGACCTCTTCTGTGTGTAGATGTGTTTTTGGTGCTTTTCTGTGTTTAAGTTGAACTTGAGTTGAGGCTTGCCCCCTGCCAAGGGCAAGAATACACTGGTCTGGTCCTACCAAGTAGTCTGTCACGAGGTACAGTAGGCCCCCAAGCTTTGCTTGCTTACATTTAAGGTTCATCTAAAGATGCCAGTGAGTTAAAACACTTGCTACTAAGTCTGACTACATGAGTTTGATTCCTGGGATTCACATGGGGAAGGAGAGAACAAGCTGCCTTCTGACCTCCACACATGGGGGGCCATGGGAGCACTGTGCACCCGTCTCCTCCTCTCCAATGAATGTAATTATTATTATTATTATTTTATTTTTCCAAGACAGGGTCTCTCGATACACAGCTCTGGCTGTCCTGGAACTCACTATGTAGATCAGATTGGCTTACAGAGATCTTCCTGCCCCTGCCTCCTAAGTGCTGAGTTTAAAGGTGTGCACCATTATGCCTGGCTATATAATCTTTTAAAAGTTCATGTACAGACAGTTTCTGAGAGTTTTTGCTTTTAAATAGAAAACTACTAACTAAAATGACTGGTTTTTATATGCTGATTGACAGATCCACTTTGATAAGTTTTGAATTTGTCCAACTTTAGGACAATGGTTGAGATACCACAGAACATTTTATGAATGGAAGGGTTTTGTTTTTTTGTTTTTCTTTTTTGGTTTTTCAAGACAGGCTTTCTCTGTGTAACAGCTCTGGTTGTCCTGGGACTCACTCTGCAGACCAGGCTGGCCTTGAACTCAAAGAGAGCTGCTGCCTCTGCCTCCCGAGTGCTGGGATTAAAGGCATGTGCCACCACTACCCAGCTAATGGAAGGGTTCTTGAAGAGCAGGAAGTCAAGAGTGAAAGGTGGCTCAGAACATATCAGATAAACTTATTTGTTGGGGTATAACAAAGCAGAAAACTATTTCCAGGAGGTTTTCTTATATCCTACAGTAAGAAATGTTTGTGACCTAATAATGCTAGTGCATAAAACACAAAATCTCATAAAATGCTTGCTTTTGAAATACCTGTGTGTTTTGGAATGGTTCTCTATACTGAAATACTTGATTATGTTGACTATAATACTGTAAGCTACTTTGACAGTTAGCCCCTATTAAATTGTCAACCACAGATAGGGGATCAGTTCAAGATCCAGGAAACTAGCAAAAGTCTATAGGCACTTAAGTCCCATTTGTAGTAGTGTCACATTTGCATGTAAGGTAGGCAGGCCCTTATTCATCTCCAGATTATTCTTTGTTTTTTGTTTTTGTTTTTTGAGACAGGGTTTCTTTCTCTGTGTTGTTTTGGTGCCTGTCCTGGATCTCGCTCTGTAGACCAGGCTGGCCTCGAACTCACAGAGATCCACCGGGCTCTGCCTCCCGAGGGCTGGGATTAAAGGCGTGCGCCACCACTGCCCGGCTCTCCAGATTGTTTTTAATGCCTTATAGGTGTATGTGATATATGAGGAGATATTGTAATAATTACCCAGTAAACAGTCTTACATGTTCATGCAGTATTTTTCTGTTGAAGCCTTTTTGAGACAAGGTCTCACTATATGGCCCTGGCTGCCTTGGAAGTTCCTGCGTAGACCAACTGGCTCAGTGCTGGGTTTACATGTGTAGGATTCACATGCTACATTGAACTTCCACATTGAACTTCAGGAATGTGGAGCCTGTTGATATATGGACACCACATAGTGGGGTGGGAAGGCAGGATTGTGGAGAAGTTGGGGTATTGGTCTCCTGGGTTTAGAATTGGACTCTAAGCCGGGCGGTGGTGGCACACGCCTTTAATCCCAGCACTTGGGAGGCAGAGCCAGGCGGATCTCTGTGAGTTCGAGGCCAGCCTGGGCTACCAAGTGAGTTCCAGGAAAAGGCGCAAAGCTACTCAGAGAAACCCTGTCTCGAAAAACCCAAAAAAAAAAAAAAAAAAAAAAAAAAAAAAAAAAAAGAATTGGACTCTAAGCTTGTGTTCTTGTTACTTTGGTACAGTCTTCCTCTCTCTAGGCTTTAGCTCCTACAGGAGGATACTCTAGGGTTATGCTGAGGATGAAAAGAAAAACCTTTTTCATAATATTTTCATAATATTATTCATAATATTTTTTTCATAAAAAATATTAAAGGTATCAGAGTGTGTGACTGTAATCCTAGCACTGGGGGGCTATATTCAGGATTAGGAATTCAAGGTCACCCTGAGCCACATGACACTCTGACTCAAAAAACTTAACCAAAAAAGAATATCAGTCAGTTGAATTTGAGGTATTGGTGATAAAGAATTTTGCTTTCCCTTTTCCAGAATTTTTTTTTTTTTTTTGGTAGACAAGTTCTCTACATAGCCCTGACTGTCCTGGAACTCACTCTGTAGACCAGGCTGGCCTTAAGAGATCTGCCTACCTCTGCCTCCTGAGTGCTGAGGTGAAAAGTCCCTGGCTGTCTTAGAACTCACTTTGTTGACCAGGCTGGCCTCGAACTTAAGAGATCACCTGCCTCTGCCTCCCAAGTGCTGAGATTAAAGGCGTGCACCATCACACTTGGCTCTGTTTATGTTTTTCAGGGTTATCTGTGCCTTGGGTTAGCCATGAACTCCTTTTATAGTTGAACATTAACTTGGATGTCTTATCCTTCTACCACCGCTTTGCAGGTGCTGGGATTGAAGGCTTCTTCAAATTTAGTCAGTCTTCAGTCTGGTCTGATGTAGAACTGAAGCTGCGTCTTGAATCAGGCATGCTTTGGAAGTGGGCTGTGTGTGTGTCTGTTTCTGTGTCTGTCTGCCAGTCTTCTTTCTGTGATTTGAATTTAGGAACTTGGTCATGCTAGCCAGCCTCTTTAGCACTGAGAAATGCCCACAGACCTTTTTGAGATGTTTATTTTGTTTGTTTGTTTTGTTTTTTGTTTTTTTGAGACAAGGTTTTTCTGTATAGCTTTGGAGCCTGTCCTGGATCTCACTTTGTAGACCAGGCTGGACTCGAACTCACAAAGATTCACCCGGCTTTGCCTCCCTAGTGCTGGGATTAAAGGTGTGCACCACCACCACCGCCTGGCAGAGATGTTTATTTTGAAAGAGGCTTTTACTAAAACCTGCAGACTGGCCAGCCTGGTTTGAGTAGGGGATCTGTCTCGTCTCAGCCTCTTGTGTAGCTAGGGTTCTAGGCCTGTGCTACCAGGTGCCCCTATGCTTTTTGTTTGTTTGGTTGGTTTTTCCAGACAGGGTTACTCTGTGTGCTTTTGGTGCCTGTCCTGGATCTTGCTCTGTAGACCAGGCTGGCCTCGAACTCACAGAGATCCGCCTGGCTTTGCCTCCCAAGTGCTGGGATTAAAGGCGTGCACCACCGCCGCCCTGGGCCCCTATGCTATTTAAGAATAAGAGTTTCAAAAAAACTGGTTGTTTTTTTGAGACAGGGTGTCTGGGTAGCCCCAGCTGTCCTGGAACTCTGTAGTCCTGGCTGGCCTCGAATTCATAGACCAACCCCCACCCCCACCCCTCTGCCTCCTGAGTGCTGGTCTAAAGACCTTCCCCACCATGCCCATACTTGCTGAATTATACTATCTATGTACAGTTGGAAATAACTGTCTATTCCCTTTAGAACTGATTATCTGCACAAACTAGATGTGAGACACTTAAATAGTATTTTGTAGAACTAATTTTTTTTTAAAGTTTTTGTTTGTTTTGGTTTTGGTTTTGGTTTTGGTTTTTCAAGATAGGGTTACTCTTTGTAGTGCTGGCTGTTTGGGAACTCACTCTGTAAACCAGGCTGGACTTGAACTCACATAGATCTGCCTGCCTCTGCCTTCCAGATGCTGGACCTAAAGGCACCTGGCTAAAAAGATTTAAAAATTTTAATTATTTTATATGTATGGATGTTTGTCTGCATATATGTATGTATACCACGTGTGTGCCTGGTACCCTAGAAAGCCAGAAGAAGGTGTTGGATTCCCCTGGAACTGGAGTTACAGATGGCTATGAGCCACTGTGTGGGTGCTGCGAATCAAACTGCAGGTCCTCTGCAAGAGCAGTTATGATCATAACCACTCAGCAATCTCTCAGCCCTTTATATAACTATTTTAGAAATGAATTATTGGGTGGTGTGGTAGTTTGAATGTAATTGGCCCCTATAAGTTCATAGGGAGTGGTACTATTAGGAGGTGTGGCTTTGTTGGAGTGAGTATGGCCTTATTAGAGGAAGTGTGCCACTGTGGGTGGGCTTTGAGGTTTCCTATGCTCAGGACACTGCCCAGTGTCTCAGTTGACTTTGATGCCTTCAATATGTAGGATCTCAGCTACTTCTCCAGCACCATGTCTTCCACATGCGGCCATGCTCCCCACCATGATGGTAATAGACTGAACCTCTGAAACTGTAAGCCATTCCAATTAAATGTTTTCCTTAATAAGAGTTGCCCTGGTCTTGATGTCTCTTCACAGCATAGAAACCCTAAGTTTGTAGTCTGGGAAGTACAGTGGTGTAGCAGTTATATGAAAGAAGAGAGATCTTTTCATATACTCAGGATTATCAAAATAATAGTTAAGGGCCAGGGAGATGGCTTAGTAAAGGTGCTTCCTGCAAAAGCTTCACAACCTGAAATGGATCCCACTGTAAAGGTAACAGAGCTGACTGTTTTCATTTACATCCACACGTGTCCTACCCCCTACGTGCGTGCGTGCGTGCGTGCGTGCGTGCGTGCGTGCGTGCGTGCGTGCGTGCGTATTGGCCTGCCTCTGCCTGCCAAGTATTAGAATTAAAGGCATTCACCACTGTGCCTGACCATTAATAAAAATAATTCTGTCTTGTTTTGTATTTTTGGGACAGGGTTTTTCTGTGTAACAGCCCTGGCTAGTCTGGAACTAATTTTGTAGACAAGACTGGCTTTAAACTCAGAGGTCTGCCTGTCTCTACCTCCTGGGTGCTGGGGTTATAGGCATGTGCCACTATATACTACTCATTAATAAAATAAAAAAATTAAGGCCCGGCGGTGGTGGCGCACGCCTTTAATCCCAGCACTCGGGAGGCAGAGCCAGGCGGATCTCTGTGAGTTCGAGGCCAGCCCGGGCTACCAAGTGAGTCCCAGGAAAGGCGCAAAGCTACACAGAGAAACCCTGTCTCGAAAAACCAAAAAAAAAATTAAGACTTAGCATACAACTGTAATCACAGTATGCAGGAGGATTTTGACTTCAAGGCCAGCCTAGGCTACATATAGTGAAACTTTGTCAAAAGAAAAGAACAGAACAGGTAAAAGCCAACTGCAAACATTCACTCCAGGTTGTGTCCCCCGCGTCCCCCCATATTCAATCACTCACTCACATATTCAGATACCTCCAGAAGTTAGTTCTTCTTAGTCCTGTCTGAAGATGAAGAAACTGAGTTGAGTTGAGGGTTATATTTGTTTTGGTTTTTTAACTCGACTATATTAGAGCACTAGTGAGTTTGAACGTCTGTTCTTTCTGATCTCTTGCTTTGCAGATGATGTCCCTTGCATCTGCTCAGACCCATGAAGAGCTAGCTCTAGGTCTCTGTCTCATCCCTGCTGATAAGTGTTGGTGTTAGTGGGTGCTGTACTTTCTGCCCTTTTGGGTGACATTGCTTCTCAGGATTCCCTGCCAAAGTAGTACACAGTTTCTACACATGCTCCTTACACCTGCCTCTCCATGAATGCTTTCAGATGTACTTTTGGCAAAAGTGAAACTTTTTGGTTGTCCATTTGCAGTTGATGATTCTTTGGTAATTGTTGGGCTTGTTAGATTGCTGCATGGCAGATGTCACCTGAAGTGTGAACTCCTTGGTCGACACAGTGACAGTTCCTACATGCAGCAGTGTTTTGGATTTGTATTGTGAAAATGTCTCCCCTGACTTTAGGATGAAGCTGCTTTTATAAAAGATTGGCCAGTGTGACTTTTAAGGGCTTTCTCCATTTAGCACTGAAGTTGTGTGAGTCTGTTACCTATGGGATATGATTAAATACTAAAAGCTGCTTAATGCAGTTAGAGAATGGGTAAGTGCTCCGTCTTGTTCTCTTGCTTCCTGCAGAACAGAACGACTAGAAAATGTTTGCTTAACTGCCTGGAAAGCTCCATAGAGAGATTCCCTCATGAAAAAGTTCCTAGTGAGGTCAAAAGAGTCTCACACTATGTTCCTTCCTTTTTTTTTTTTAATGCTGGGCCAGGACTTTTTAGATTTTTTTAAATTTATTTTTATCTATTTCTCTCTCTCTCTCTCTCTCTCTCTCTCTCTCTCTCTCTCTCTCTCTCTCTCTCTCTCTATTTATTTATTTATTTATAGGCAGAGTCCTCTTTGTAGCCCAGACTGTCCTGAAACTCTGTAGACCAGGCTGGCCTCAAACTCAAAGGTCCACCTGTCTCTGCCTCCTGAGTGGAGTTCCAAGCCTTATTTATGTATGCTAGATATGATCTCTGAACTTTACTCTCAAGTCCATTTAATTTTAGTTGACAGGTAAAAGTTGCATATGCTTCTTTGGAATGGCTAAAACACTGTACTGTGATCTCTAAAGTGTAGGTTAAGGTGAGCTCTGATCATGTGCTATGTAGCTCTGGGCATCTTTTCTTGTATGAATATCAAACAGTTCTTTCCTTCCACATTTTTTGTACTTTCAGTGTTTGTTGTTAAGAAACCAGTTAAAAAGCTCAAGTGAGGCCAGTCATGGTGGTACACTCCTTTAATCCTAGCACCACCATGCTAGGGTGCTGAGAACCAGACCCTGGTCCTCTGCCAAAGCAGCAAGTGCTCTTAACCTTTGAGCCATCTCTCTAGCCCCCTGCTTTCTTAAGTTTCTTGAAAAGTTGCTGTATATTAGGTTGCAGCTTTGGTGCTTGGCTAACCCTCTTCTCGTGGGATGTCACCGATGCATCATTGCATCACACAGTTGAGGTATATTGCTTATATGATACAGATTTGTTTCCTGGGAAAAACTTCTCACAAGAATGTATGTGTAATTTAGAAAAATTTAAATTAGAGGTGTTTAAAATTTTTTAATTTATGTGTATAGGTGTTTTGCCTGTGTGCATGTGGGTGTACCATGTGCATTGCTCTGGGAAGCCAGAAGAGGGTGTTGGATCCCCTTTAACTGGAGATACAGTTGTGAGCAATAATGTGAGCGTTAGTAATTGAATCCAGGTCCTTTGGAAGAGTGACAAGTGCTCTTAACCCTTGAGCCATGTCTCCAGGCCCCCGGGTTCAGTTTGAAACCTCTAGAGTCTCTGCTGAGTATCTTGGGACACAGTTGTCTTCCTTCTCCCAGCCACTGCAGTCCCCGTGCCTGTTAAGTGGATGTCCTCCTGAGTCTGCTCTCTCCAGTCCCCCGTTTGCTTTCACACTGCCGTCAGTAATCTTTCTACATAAGCACTCTTGTTCCGGGCTGTCCTGAATCTGAAAACCCTGTAGTGGCCTGTATCATCACTGGAGAAGGAGGAGTGAGGCCACAGATCATAACCCCCTCACGTGCAGGCCCCTGGTGTGTGAACTTAGAGTTCGTTAGAATGCAGTGTTTAGAAGACACTTGTCTTCCTGATTATTTCTTCCCCTGTACTCAGTATTGTTATCTACCTAGGAACTGGTGCACAGTTCACTTTTGCCTCCTTTGACATCATAGTGTGTTTTTATTTTATTTGTAGTCCTAGATGTTTTGGAACTTGCTGTGTAGACCAGGTGGCCTCAGACTCACAGAAAGCAGCCTGCCTCTGCTGCCTCCTGAGTACTGGGATTAAAGGTGTGTACTTACTATGCCTAGCTTCATAGTGTTTTAGGCATACACTCTTAACTTGATCTTAGTCAGAAGGAGTAAAAGAGACTCTTGCTCTGAATGCTGTGCTTCTGTGTCCTTTAATTTTAGTGTGAAGTTTCTGGGATCAGAGACTTTCATCTTTTTCCAACATGTAGCAGGTTCTTCAAAAATACTGAATGACCAGCTCTGATAGAAAATGTTGACTTGCTTGTGTCTAGAAGAGAGTTAATATTTTTCACTTTGTTCTAAAGATGGTGGAACCGGGGCAAGATTTACTGCTTGCTGCCTTGAGCGAGAGTGGGATTAGTCCGAATGACCTCTTTGATGTTGATGGTGGAGATGCCGGACTTGCAACTCCTACTCCCCCTTCAGTTCAACAGGTAATAGTTCTCCAGATCCTCCAGAATTCCCTCTGAATTTGCAATTTCCATTGTCATTTATTATTAGCAGTGTTTTGTTTTTTTTTTTCCTATTGGTGGTGTTGAGGATTGAACCCTGGGACTTGTGCTGCTAGGCAAGCACTTTTCTGCTGATGTACAGCCTCAGCTGTTTAATTGACATTTTAGAAAAAGATATTAAACGTTAATTTTTTTTTGAGGGGTGGTTCTTAACAGGGTTTCTCTATGTAGCTCTGGCTGTCCTAAAACCTGCTTTATGGACCAGGCTCCACCTGCCTCTCCCTTCCCGAGTGCTGAGACTAAAGATGTGCACCACCACCTCCCAGCAATAAACCTTAACTTTAAAGATGACATATGAATGTTTTTACACTGTTTTTATTAATGAAGTAGATACTATTTGCATCAAAACCAAGACATTGTTTTTCCTATTGCTTAGCATTCATATAGGAAGAGTATTAATTTTTTTCATAGCTGCCTTTGGTCTTCATTGGGACCTTTTTTATGACTTCTCTCTTTACATTTGCAAAAATAAAGTTCTGATATTAGTGTAGTTTTGTGGAGATTGTATGCTGACCAATATTTTGTTATAACTGATGTAGTGATTGTACAAACTGTTTGATTGTAAACCTTGACTTCGTGTATATGGTACTGGGGTCTGAGCCAAGGACTCTGCAGGCTAGTCAAGTGTTCTACCCCTCAGGTAGAATCCAGCTCTAAAGTTGTTTCTTTAATAAAATAAATGCAACTCTTGTTCTTGGAACAGAATTCACTGCTGTCCATCCTTTCTCTGTTATTTTCTCTCTAGTCAATGCCACTTAGTGCATTAGATCTAGGTTTGGAGACAGAAGCAGCAGTTCCTGTTAAACAAGAACCAGAGGCAGTGTCTACTCCTGCTGCACTATTAAATGTGAGGGTAAGAGCCACTCAGATTTGGTGTTACTTCTAAAATGGCTTAGGGTGGTAGCAAAAATAGAACTATTTATTTGAAATAAGATCTTTAGCCCTGGCTAGCTTTGATTTCCCTATGTACCAGAGAACACTAGTGTATTGTAAATCACTAACAACAACAACAAAATTGGTGAAATGAAGATTGAATGTACGTGTTATCTCATTATTTTCAGTGTTTGGTACCTTGGCTTTTGTCAGTAACTTTGATGTGATTAATTGTGCTTTACATATAGAGTTCTTTGGACCTTACCTCAAATATAGCCAATATCAACATGATCCAAAAGATTATGGTCGAACTGGTTAAAATTTGTCAGTTTGTATTGTTGGTTTAAAAGTGGTAAATAGCAGTCTAGAAGATTTTATTGAAAGTTATAGAAAGGAGCTAGAGTCGTAGCTTAGTGGTAGAGGACTTGCCTTGTAGGTGCCTGACCCTGGGATGACCCCCAGCACCACAAGGACAAACACACACCAATGATATACAGAAATACTCAGTAACCTTAAAGCCACAGACGTAGCATTTTCAAGTTGGCTGTATTTTATTTCACTTTTTAAGTTTTTGAGATAGGGTTTCATGTAGTCCATGTTGGCTTTGAGCTCAACTTCTGCACATTCTGTGTCTCTTTGCCATGTGTGGCTGTCACAGTCCTGAGCCACGCACTCAGCTTTTTCTTTTTCTTTTCTCCTCCCTGTTCTCTTCTCACTCCACCTCCTCCCTAACAACACAAATGGTGTGTGACACTGGGCGGTGGTGGCACACACCTTTAATCCCAGCACTTGGGAGGCAAAGGCAGGCGGATCTCTGAGTTCCGGGACAGCCAGAGCTACATAGAGAAACTCTGTCTTGAAAAACCAAATAAATAAATAAATAAATAAATAAATAAATAAATAAATAAATAAATAGGGGGGTAAAGGAGGGAGGGTCGTGTGGCTTTGTCTTAGACTGTTGATAGTAACCACCTTATTACCAGTGTTTCATGTTCACCTGACTGTTTTATCTTTTTTCCAGAGCTGAGGACTGAACCCAGGTAGGGCCTTGCACTTGCTAGGCCAGCGCTCTACCATTGAGCTAAATCCCCATACGACTGTTTATCTTTTTAGACTCTAAGATATAGCATAACCTCTATGATAACAAACAGCTTGGAACAGGAAAGACAGTGTTGGACTTTTGAGATGGGTCAGTGGGAAAGATATGTGTTGCCATGCCGCAAGACCCAAGCATTCCAAGGAGCCGGGATCCCTCACCTTGTCCTTTTACTCCCACACGTTTGCCACTCAGTAAAATGATTTTGCGGAACAAATGGAAAGGTTTTTGTTTATGTTTTTAGTTAAAAGAAAGGCAGCGTTAGCAGCAAGTTGGCTTCAAAGAGCTTGAGTGACAACTCAGCAGTTAACTCTTACTAGAGCCGCCCATATGGGGCAGGCAGCTCTCAGGTGCCTGCAACTCCAGCTCAGGGAGGGTCTGGTGCCTCCAGCCCCCGTAAGTACCTGCACATACCCTATCCATACAGATTAAAAGAAAAATGATAATAGAAATCTTTGTTTTTTCAAGAATGGGCTTCTCTGGGTAGCCCTGGCTATCCTGGAACTCACCCTGTAGACCAAGCTGGTCTCAAACCAGGAGATCCACTTGCCTCTGCCTTCCAAGTGCTGGGATTAAAGATGGGTGACAATAGAAATCTTTAAAAAATAAGTAAAATGAAAATTGAACTCAGGAAAACTTAGGTCTTGAGTGGTTTATATGATTTACCTAGACTTGTCTGCCTGGTTGTCAGTGTTGCCTAGAATTTTTTTTTCTGTTGCTAGGCCTATTAGAGTTACTAAGTCACAGCTAGCTTGGGATAGCTTTCCATTATAATTTATATGTTCTTTAATGCCTGTATTAAAGTGTCAAATTACTAGTACACTCTTTCCTGATTGTTGTGTTTTTAACCTGATAATTTATAGCTAATCATTAAATTAGGATTAAAGTACCGTAATTAAGCAGGAATAGAATAAAGTTTAGATTGTGTGGATGTTGACTCTGGGCTCTTACATGCCACAGCAGGCATGTGGTCAGAGGACAGTTGTCACTTCTCACCATGTTGGAGACAGGGTCTCTCTCTGCCTTCCATGTCACTGTCAGAGCACTGGGGTTACAGATGTGCATGACTGCCTGATGGTCATGAGTTCTGTGTTCTGGAGATAGAAGGTTCTCGTGCTTACAGCTTTCCCTTTTGAGTCCTCTATCCAGCATCTGTTTTAGATTGCTAAGTGGATTACTAGGTTTCCAATGCAGACTGTCAAAGTTAGATTGAGTGTGTGAAGTGTTTCTTCTTTTCTAGCAGCAGCCTCCATCCACTACAACCTTTGTGCTGAATCAAATCAATCAACTTCCAACCCTGGGCTCTACAATTGTAATGACTAAAACGCCACCTGCAACAACCAATAGGCAAACCATCACTTTAACCAAGTTTATCCAGACCACGGCAAACACTCGCCCTTCAGTCTCAGCACCAGCAGTACGAAATGCCCTGCCCCCTGCTCCTTCTAAAGACCAGGTTCAGTTGAAGGATTTACTGAAAAATAATAGTCTAAATGAACTCATGAAACTGAAGCCACCTGCCAACATTGCTCAGCCAGTTGCAACTGCTGCTAGTAAGTTGTTTACAGCGGTTTGAACCTTATGTCTTTCACAAACCATTTTGTTTTCTATGTGTGTGTTTCACAAGTGGTTTTGGATGTTTTCTTTAATATTTTTTTCTGAGTGTGTGTCTTGAGTACATATATATGTATGTACCTTGTGCATGAAATACCCATGGAGTCCAGAAGAGGGCATCAGATTTCACTGGAACTGGAGTTGGTTTCTTGTGAGCTGCCTTGTAGGTGCTAGGAAATGAACCTTGGTCCTTTGCAAGAGCAGTAATCTCTCTTAACTGCTGAGCCCTCTCTCCAACTCTGCTTTTGGTTGGGATTGTTTTTTGGTTCCCCTGTCCCCTCTTTCCCCCCAAGATGGTTTCTCTTGTGTAGCCTTGGTTGTCTTGGAACTCTGTAGATCAGACTGCCATTGCCTCCCAAGTGCTGGGATTAAAGGTGCTTGCCACCACCATCCAGTTTAAGAATGTGGGTTTTACAGTCTTTGAAACAATAAATACCTAATGTGTGTATTGTTCCAACTCCTGTCTGGACTTTAAGGTGTTGCTGGGGGAAAAACTTGCCCTCTAGGCGCTCATGTTATACTAAAGAAAGATAGTGAACCTGTTGTATTTCTGAGAAGGGCTCGGGCTAAGAAGAGAAGTGAAAGGTGCATGGTAGGGCAGGCCCAAGCATCTTACTATGCCTGTGCCTATCTATGTGTGCCCTGTCTACCAGCCCCCTCTCTCCCCAGGGAGGTAGGTGTTTCCTACTGTCCTATTATAGAACTCATCAGACAGGCTAGGCTAGTCTGGCTAGCCAGTGAGTCTCAGGGATCCTCCTGTCACCACCATAACCAGCTTTTTGGGGTTTTTTTTTGTTTGTTTTTGAGACAAGGTTTCTCTGTTTAGCCCTGGCTATCCTGGAACTTGCCTTGTCGATGAGACTGGCCTTGAACTCATAGAGATCCTCTTGCCTTTGCCTCCTGAGAGCTGGGATCAAAGGTGTTCATCACTATTAACCAGCAGATACTGTTTGTTTTTTGAAATGAATAAATTGCTGAATTTTTAAACTAGAGGAAAAGAAATTGAGACTTGTAAATTTCAATCCACTTCTCTTCCTGCAGCTGATGTCAGTAATGGTGCAGTAAAAAAAGAATCTTCTAATAAAGAAGTAGCAAGGATATGGATAAATGACATGAAAATGAGGAGTTTTTCCCCCACCATGGTGAGTTTTCAATGGTATATTGATATTTCTATGTAATATAGAAGTTACTGGGCGGAAAATTGCTTTAGAGAAATCCTCAGAAAACTTGTTGAATGGAAGTAGGCTAATAATTACAAAAACTGTATCTTTCATGGCAGTGGTGTTGCTTGCAGGGCTGACCTTTTTTGTTCATCTACCTGGTCAGGAAAAATGACAGCATGGAATTAGCCTTAAACCTTTGGTAACTTGGTGGAACCCAAATAAATGGACAGTTAGGAGCTATGCAGTGATCTGGATGAGTTGTTCAAATATTTTTTTCCTTAATTGTGGAAGTGCTGTGTGCCTTAGGTCAGGTTCATCAGATAATGTTTCTAGATGGCAGTGTGTATGCAGTGAGTGTCTGAAAGGACTTTCCTTCATGAGTTCTCTTTCAGCAGACATAATATTTGGTACCATCTAGATTTAAGGAATTGTATAGGGACATCGAAAGGTACAATGTAGATAGAGTGTGGTGGCACATGCCTTTAAAACTGAGGAAAAAAAGGTACAGTAAAGGCTATGGGTTATGAGGAAGGGATACTATCAGCACTCTGACTCTGTAGGCTTTATGGAGGAAGGGTGTGATGGACGGACAGGGATTCATAAGGAAGCATAAACTAACAGGCACCAAAGAGCTGCTGGTTCTGCTTACAGGTCAGTGATTCAGGGCATACAGAAGACATGGCAATGGACAATTGAGTTCTGTGGAGGGATCGAGGTTATAAATACACGCTAGAGGAAGACAGGCCTCTTCCTCTGGTTTAAGGTAGATGGGCAGGAAGAAAGGCAGACAGATAATATGATTTGAGGAATATTTACAATGAGAAGGAAAAATTGCCAGAACATAATTTTTGTTAATATTTTTATATTCTGTAAAATCTTGGTTTGGCCGGGCGGTGGTGGCGCACACCTTTAATCCCAGCACTCGGGAGGCAGAGCCAGGCGGATCTCCGTGAGTTCGAGGCCAGCCTGGTCTACAGAGCGAGATCCAGGAACGGCGCAAAGCTACACAGAGAAACCCTGTCTCGAAAAACAAAACAAAACAAAATCTTGGTTTGATATCTTGTGCTTTGGGGTGACCCACCTCTTGTCCCCATACTCCTTGTTCTTTCATGTCCTGGATTGAAGAGGGGCTGAGATTGGAGAGAGGTTATAGGAATTGAGGGACAGAGTAGTTGTAGATGGTAGCTGGAGGGAGTAGAACCCTGTGGTGGCTCCTTGGTGTGTTGGTTGCCCTTGTTGCTGTCTCCCTTTGGACAGGCAGGCAGGAACTGAAATTTCACAGAATGTGCAGCTGGTACCTTGTATTGGCAGGTTGGAAAAAGGTCCCATAGGCTCTGGCCCTTTGTCTCTAGACTTAAGATTGGTTGTATTTTGTGTTACAGAAGGTTCCTGTTGTTAAAGAGGAAGATGAACCGGAAGAAGAAGATGAGGAAGAAATGGGTCATGCAGAGACCTATGCAGAGTACATGCCAATAAAATGTATGTCTTTAGGTTTTTGTCAAAACCTCTAGAACTTAATCGTCTCTTAAACAATTAAGATATTAGTACACCTCATCAGTCATGGTAGATGAGACTAGAGGTATATAGGGATTGTCCGGGAACATAAACCTGCCTGCCTCTGCTCTGTGCATGAGGTCTGCTTTAAACTAGATGATTTCATCATCAGTCTCAGAAACTGTGTGCTTAGGTCATTTTGGTCAAATGTGAGTAGTACATTTCAGTTAGTAACTGTATTATAAGCTCAAAATGAGTGGCTACTATTTTCTCTGTCATAAGATTGGAAGTGTTACTAGAATTATTGAAATGAGACATTCTAACATTTTTGTTTAGTAAAGCTTGGCCTGCGTCACCCTGATGCAGTAGTGGAGACTAGTTCTTTGTCCAGTGTCACTCCTCCTGATGTTTGGTACAAAACCTCCATCTCTGAAGAGACCATTGATAATGGCTGGCTCTCCGCGTTGCAGCTCGAGGCAGTTACCTACGCAGCCCAGGTAATTCTTACTAAGTTTGATGCTGTATGTTGATACATAAAATAAAGATTGGGGAGGTTGTTTGTTTGTTTAGTTTTCATTTTATTTATTCATTCATTCAGAGACAAAATCTCTTTATGTATCTCTTGCTGTTCTGGAGCTTTCTGTGTAGACCAGGCTGGCCTCAAACTCACAGAGATCCACCTGCTTCAGCCTCCCAAGTGTTAGAATTAAAGGCGTGCACCAAAATACCTGGCTTATACTTCATTCATTCATTTTTCATGTGCATTGGAGTTTTGCCATGGGTGTTGGGTCCCTTGGAACTAGAATTACAGACAGTTGTGGGCTGCCATATGGGTGCTGGGAATTAAACCCAGGTCCTCTGGAAGAGCAATCCCTGCTCTTAACCGCTGAGCCATCTCTCTAGCCCCATATTATTTTTTATATGATGTATGTGTGTGTCTTAGGAGTGTATTCCACATGTGTCAGATAATGACAGGCCAGCAGCGGGAGTTGGAGTGTTTCTACCCTCAAGCTAGAGTTACAGGCAGTTGGGAGTCACTTGACCTGGGTGCTGGGAATCAAATTTTGGGTCCTCTGGAAGAACAATAAGTGCCCTTAACCACTGAGCCATCTTTCCAAGCCCCATGTAATACAGTTTTAATAAAGGTAAATTTTTCTTACCAGAAAACTTGGAATTGGATTTTTTTTTTCCCCCAAAGTTTTATATAGTGTCCAAATGGCGGTGGTACACACCTTTAGTCTCAGCACTTGGGAGCCAGAGGCAGGTGGATCTCTGCTTTTGAGGCCAGCCTGGTCTACAGAATGAGTTCCAGGATAGCCAGGGACAGACAGAGAAACCCTGTCTCAAAAAAAAAAAAAAAAAAAAAGGAAAAATTAGGTTATGTGTTAGGAAACGGGAAGGTGTAGCAGGGATCTTGAGAATGCCTTCTAGTAGAAATGACAAGTCATGACCTAGAATTTTATGTGGGAATATTATTAATATGAAGACTACGTTTATCTTCTATCTAAGACTGCTATAGGAATCTGAGGTATATGTAAGAATGTTTGTTACCCCATTTTTTCCCTTTTGAGTGCCCATACTGTTAAGGTAGTTAGTGAACTGGCAGTCTTGCGCTGTGCAAGTACTCTTGGTAATACACCATGTGAGTGGGACTCACTTCAGTCATGCTTGAAGAAATTTTGTTTTAACTCCATTCTTGTAGGATAAACAATGCTGTGTGTGAATGGGCAACTGTCCCCATGGTTAAGTATCTTGTGAAAGTTGGCATTTTGTCAGGCAGGTGTTCAGAGGAAGAGGGAAGCAACCTCACCAATTTCTTGTCTTTGCTGTTGAGTGCATGGAGGGTAGAAGGCAAGTGTAGTACTTACAGAGAGAGAATGTCCATGCTAGGGGGTGGGCACACTTATGTCAGCGTGCACGAAGGCGTAATGATGACACATGTCCGTGATTGTTTTAATTGAGTAGGAACTTATTTACTGAAGCATGGGCAACTTCATTACCTTGATGAGAAAATGACACCCATTCTTCCAACTTTTCCCTTTTTAGCAACATGAAACATTCCTCCCTAATGGAGACCGTGCTGGCTTCTTAATAGGTGATGGTGCTGGTGTGGGCAAAGGCCGGACGATAGCAGGGATCATATATGAGAACTACTTGTTGAGCAGAAAAAGAGCATTGTGGTAAGTTCCAAAGGGGTGGCTGACTGAGGAGTTGGTTTTTTAATAGTTTGTTTAGCATGACAGGATGAATTTAAATGAATTTTTTTTTGTAGTATCAAGACCTTAGTTCTATGAAAAAATGCAATTCAAGTTTAATTTGGTTTACCTTTTTTTGACAGGTTTAGTGTATCAAATGATTTAAAATATGACGCTGAAAGAGATTTAAAGGATATTGGAGCAAAAAACATTTTGATCCATTCATTAAATAAGGTATGGAAGCCTCCTTGTTCAATGGGGCTATCAGTGCCTACTGACTGACTCATCTTGAGGATGGGACAGTTGTTTTTGTGGGTTTGTTACAAGGACTAAATGGGTTATTTCACACAACACACATGCTAGGCTGTGGATGTGTCTAACGCCTGACAAAGTGGGCGTGGTCCTTGGTGTAATGGAGTTTGTTTTCTTGGTCTCCAGTGTTCTATTTCTCTTAGTTTCTACAGTGCTTTTTATGCCTGTCCATGTGCAGTGTGGAAAAGTAGTGACCCCATCACATCTGTGCAGCCTGGAGAGAATCGTTTGGTTTGCAAACTGTTGGTATTTGTTTAACTAAGAGTTGTGTCGGTATGGAAACAAGAAATGGATATCTACATCTAAAACACAGTTTTACATGATTAGAATTTTAATGGTTACCTAATATTTAAGATGGGGTCTTACCATAGCTCATGCCAGTCTCTAACTCACAGCAATCCTCCTGTCTCAGTGACTCCCTAGTGCTGAGATTAAGCATGTGCATGTAAAGTGCCTGGCACAAATCTTATTTTTGTTTTTTGAGACAGGGTCTCACTGTGTAGCCTTGGCTGTCCTCGAACTTGCTATGTAGACCAGTCTGACCTCAAACCCCCTGAGTGCTTGGTTTAAAGGTGGGTGCCACCAAGTCTGACCTCCTGACGCAAATCTTAAAATGTACTATGTGCCTTTTGTTGGTTTTGGAGAATCCTAGAAGGAGCTCCCTACTGGTCTTGAAAATCAGTGACTGTAACCCTGATTTTCGTGTTTTTTCTCTTTTTTTTTTTTTTTTAAAGGTTTATTTATTTATTATGTATACAGTGTTCTGCCTGCATGTGTCCTTGCAGGCCAGAAGAGGGCACCAGATCTAATTGCAAGGGGTTGTGAGCCACCATGTGGTTGCTGGGAATTGAACTCAGGACCTCTGGAAGAGCAGTCAGTGCTCTTAACCACTGAGCCATCTCTCCAGCCCGATTTTCGTGTTTTTTATCTGTCCCATTGTTAGGACCCTGGTCCTCACTGGCTTTCCTTTGGTAGGTCAGTGGCTTTTCTGGTTAGGTTTTATTTAGTCAAGTAGTTAATGTGTCAGTGTGGTAAGTTTTGAATGATTGCAGTGTAAAACTAAAACATGAAACTGATACCTAGATAAGGTTTATTTCTAAGCAGTGTACCTGATGGGGGGCACATTACTCAGAATTCTGTGTTTGGGGGTGCTGAGGATAGAGCCCCGGTGTTAGGCATGCTAGACCAAGTGCTCTGCCACTGAATCACACCCCAGCTTGTTTGCTAACACTTGGGCTGATGGTCGTCCTCTATGTCCCGACTCAGTCCTAGTACTTTATGAATGGTATATGAGTGCACAGCAGGTATGTGTGGAGCCTCTTGTCATTTCTGTAGGGAAGCTGATTGGACATGTTCGCATTGATGTTTTGTAAATTTTCTGCATCTAGATTGTTTGGAGTCTGTCATAAACCTACTAAGTTGACTCTCATAGTTTGTGGTGGGTACTTCTGAGAGGAAGATGTACTAATTCTTTTTTTTTTTTTTTTTTTTTTTTTTTTAGTTTAAATACGGAAAAATTTCTTCCAAACACAATGGGAGTGTGAAAAAGGGTATTATTTTTGCTACCTATTCTTCTCTTATTGGTGAAAGCCAGTCTGGTGGTAAATACAAGACCAGGTTAAAACAGCTTCTGCATTGGTGCGGTGACGACTTCGACGGAGTGGTATCCTTTACTAGAGATTGTGTTGATCAGTGATAGCTCACACCTGAGACAGGCAGATCTCCGAGTTCAAGGGCAGCCAGGGCTACACAAAAAAACCCTGTCTCGAAAAATTTAAAAAAACGAAAAACAGCCGGCCGGTGGTGCACGCCTTTAATCCCAGCACTTGGGAGGCAGAGGCAGGCAGATCTGTGAGTTGGAGACCAGCCTGGTCTACAGAGTGAGATCCAGGACAGCCAGTGTTACACAAAGAATTCCTGTCTTGAAAACCAAACCAAACCAACCAAACAAATACACACACACACACACACACACACACACACACACACACACACACACACACACACAAAAACCCTTGCTATGCCCGGCAGTGGTGGCACACGCCTTTAATCCCAGCACTCAGGAGACAGAGGCAGGCGGATCTCTGAGTTCTAGGCCAGCCTGGGCTACAGAGTGAGTTCCAGAACAGGCACCTAAAGCACACAGAGAAACCCTGTCTCGAAAAACAAGAAAATAAAAAAATAAATAAAATTATGTTTAGGGCTGGAGAGATGGTTCTTCCAAAGGACCCAGGTTCAGTTCCCAGCACCCACATGGCAGCTCACAACATGGGACCCGGCACCCATGGCAAAACACCAATGCACATAATATAAAATTTAAAAAAAAAAAATTATGTGGAGATAGACTTTTGGAAAAAAATTTGACTAAGTGAATATTTTGGAGTGTTTACTGTAATGTTAGAGTCGCCAGAGCCTGGAAAGTCAGTTCTTTTGTTTGTGGGGAGTGCTGCATCCTGTTCTCCATGCCTTTTCCCATGGAGTGCTTGAGAGACGGAGGAAGCAGTGCTCACTTACTTGCTCACACATAGATAGCTTCTGCTGTCCTGATGAGGAACCCCATGTTCTGAAATACTATTTTAACTTAGTTGCCATTTGTTCTACAGTTTACTGAAATTCTGGCTGTAGTGGATAGTTGTTGCCTCGGTGAATCCTTTCCTGCATTCTTAGAAGAAAGAAGTTCCCAGCTAAAGTAAATACCACATTGAGCAGATAGCTCAGAAGCTTGCAGGACAAGGTAAAGGAGTAGAGATGAGGCACAGAGGGTTCTTGGGTTATGTGTGGAATCTTACAGAAAATACCTGTGGGCTCCAGGGTTGTAGAGCACACTCTTGATAGACAGTTCCTGCTTTTGATATGTTCCTTAGCTCCTCCTTACAGATAGTGTTTGATGAATGTCACAAAGCAAAAAACCTGTGTCCTGTTGGTTCTTCAAAGCCAACCAAGACAGGCTTGGCTGTTTTAGAGCTTCAGAACAAATTGCCAAAAGCCAGAGTAGTTTATGCCAGTGCCACTGGTGAGTATACACTTGATCAGAATGATTTTCACACATTTACTTTTGCAGCTATAATATATTTGGGGCTTTTCCAGGTGCTTCTGAACCACGTAACATGGCCTATATGAACCGTCTTGGAATATGGGGTGAGGGAACTCCATTCAGAGAATTCAGTGATTTTATTCAAGCAGTGGAACGCAGGTAATAAGGCTTGTGGCACTGTTCTGCCAGAACGTTGCTGTGTGGAAAGTGCTGTTTTGTTTATTGATAGTTACTGTGTGTTTTAATTTTGTTCAGAGGTGTTGGTGCCATGGAAATAGTTGCTATGGATATGAAGCTTAGAGGAATGTACATTGCACGACAGCTGAGCTTTACTGGAGTGACCTTCAAAATTGAGGAAGTTCTTCTTTCTCAGAGCTATGTTAAAATGTATAACAAAGCAGTCAAGCTGGTGAGAAATGTTTTGTCAATGTTTTTAATGTGCCTGATAATCTTTTTAATGAGGTTTATCGGTTGAAACATTTTCAACGTAGAAGAATGTGATTGGGCTGTAAAACAGCAGATAATGATCACAGTTGCTTAATTGACCAATATCCTTAATTTCCATATTTTTATTTTTTTATGGTAATTCATAAAAGACATCCATTTTTTCAGTTAAATCAGGTTCACAACTGCAGTGTAAACCATGTCCTAAAATGACGGCCTTAGAATACATTTTGAGACATTTTTGTATGAGCATCCTAAAAATTATCCGGAGATTATTCCCAAGTGACTGCAGATTATTTTGGTTGAAGGAGTCATCATTTTTGTGGTGACAAGGTCTCACTGTGTCATTGTAGCTGGCTTGGAACTCCCTATGCTATGTCTAGACTAGGCTATTCTTGAACTCACAGAGATCCTTCAGCTTACTGGGTGCTAGAATGAAAGGCATGCCTGGCTAAAGGGGTTACACTTAAGTAATGGTATTCCAATGTATATGTAACATGTTGTCTGTGTATTTCCAGTGGGTCATCGCTAGAGAGAGATTTCAGCAAGCTGCAGATTTGATTGATGCCGAGCAGAGAATGAAGAAATCTATGTGGGGTCAATTCTGGTCTGCTCATCAGAGGTTTTTTAAGTACCTGTGCATAGCATCCAAAGTGAAAAGGGTGGTGCAGCTGGCCCGGGAGGAGATCAAGAATGGGAAGGTACGTTATAGAAGGTCTAGTTCAGTCTGTGCTCAGCCAGCTAGTCTTCCTCTAGTGAGGTCTTCTACTCAGAGTAGTCTTTCTGTCTGTCTGTTTCCACACAGGGTAGCTTTTGTAGCTTCTGCCTGTCCTGGAACTCCCTCTGTAAACCAGGCTGGCTTCTAACTCACAGAGATCTTTCTAACTCCACCTCCTGAGTGCTGGGATTAAAGATACTCATCACTATGCTCAGCAGTGGAATAGTCTTTTAAATGGATATTGCTAAAAGTACTATTGCAGTAAGATTTTATTTTCATAATTTATTTTATTGTTTGTTTCATTTGAGACAGTGTGTTTATTCTGTAGCCTAGAGAAGTTTGATATTTGATAGGTCATCTAGGCTGCCCTAGAATTCATGGCAATCTTCCTGTCTCAGCATCCCAAGTTCCGAGACTGCAGGTATGTGCCACTATAAACAGATCCTTCAAAATAAATTGTAAGCCAGGCGGTGATGGTGCACGGCTTTAATCCCAGCATTCAGGAGGCAGAGGCAGGTGGATTTCTTTGAGCCTGAGACCAGTCTGGTCTACATAGCGAGTTCCAGGACTGCCAGGGCTACACAGAGAAACACTGCCTCAAAAAAAAAAAAAAAAAAAAAAAAATCAACAAAAAGAAAAGAAAAGTTCTAAAAATGCCAGGTAGTGTGTATGTGTCATCGCACCACATGAGAGATAGAAACTAGAGGATCTGAAGCTCAAAGCCAGCTGTGGCTAGATCATAGTTTGAATTTATCTACTTCAGACTTTGTATCAAGACAGACTACCTCTGCACATCCAAACAATGAGTATTTGTATATCTTTGTGTATATAAATACACAATAATGTCTGCTGAGACATTTTAGCAGAGTGTATGCTGTGTAATTTGTTCAGCTGCGCTCTTTTCGTTAATAACTAAGTATTGCCCTAAGCTTGCTTGCTTTGGTTAATTATGTATCTGCTTTAAACAAAGAGTTGCAGGGATGGTAGATCATGCCTTTAATCCCAGCATTTGGGAAGCAGAGAGAGGGAGTCTCTGTGAGTTCAATGACAGCCAGTGCTCCAGAACGAGAGAAAGAGAGCAAAAAACATAAGGGTTATAAATTTCTTCAGGTCAGGGACATTTGTAGTGTTCTATATACTTTATTTCTTCTCACTTTTTTTCTGGATCTGGGAGGGAGACGGGGTCTCTGCATAACCCTGGAACTCTCTAGAACAGTCTGACCTCACATATACAGAGATTTGCCTGTCTCTGCCTTATGAGTGCCCAGATTAAAGGCAAGCAGCACCATACCTGACTTTCTCTCACTTTTTAACATAGCATACCTCGTATAGAGAAAATGAGGCCCAAATTGCTTTAATATAATAGTTATTTTTTGAAATGTTTTAAGAATTGTTACTAGATATTTGGCATATGCCTTAAGTTATTTATAATTGTATATTTTGTGTTTTCCAGTGTGTGGTAATTGGTCTGCAGTCTACAGGAGAAGCTAGAACTTTGGAGGCCTTGGAAGAGGGTGGAGGAGAACTAAATGATTTTGTTTCAACAGCCAAGTAATGTTTTTTTTTTTTCTTGAATATAAAATTAGTTGAAACATTAGCATTTCCTTTTTTTTTTTAACCTGTATCATCTTTAAAAGTTGTCCTTACCTGAGTTTTTAGGGTTTTGTGCTTTCTTTCTTTATAGTAAATCTTATGAAAAATAGAAGGTAGATAGCTCATAATCCTGAAATACTGGGCATTTGGCAACTTTAGAGTATGTGGACTAACACATCTGGATTTTGTTCTGTACATGTTTAAGTTGGCTTAATTTCAGATTCCATGTTCTGCGTTTAACGTGACTGACCATTGCTTTTGTGAGTGACACTTTGTTTGCCACCATAGAATAGGATCTGCTCTAAACATTTCACACTGTTAACCCATATTGCTCTACTAGAGGACCTGTGTTTCCAGACCTGTTTACCTTCCGCTCCAAGGGATCTCATGCTCACAGCTCTGAGGGCACCTGCACTACGTGTACATCATATCCATGTATGGACACATACACACATAATTTTAAAATCAATTTTACAAAAACAAAAAGTGGAAATTGGAAATGGAATTTCAGAAAGTTTTAAAGATGTTCAAAGTTATTGAGGAGGCTGGCAAGACTGGCCGCTCTTGCAGTGGACCTACCACCCTTATGGCTGCTCACAACCACCTGTAATTCCAGTCCCAGGGGATCGGAGGCCCTCTTCTGCCCTCTGAAGGCACTGGGCACACACATGGTTCATAGACATACATAGAGGCAAACAACCATACACATAAAATAAATTAAAAGAATTTTTTTCTTTAAATCTTGGAAAATACTAACTGATAATAAATCCACACAACAGCTTTGAGACTGTGCTTCTGTGCTTGTGTGTGTTGCGGGCACACAGCCCAGTGCTCTGAAAGACTCCTGTTACTGAAAACTACTTATGAGAGCAAAATTTGAATTACTTTTTTGGTTTGAATCATTAAGAAAGTGCCACTTGTCACATGTGACTCTACTGAGCAATTGAAGTGTCTGTATAGGTACATTTATGTTGTTAATGTAAAACACACCAAGTTTCAAAGACACTATAAAAATGTAAGAAATCTTACTGATTATACGTTGAAGCATCATGTTGAGGTAACTGAGTGTATTACTACAATTAGTCTCAGTAGCCTCTTTGTTCAGGTTGTTGTATTTCCCAGGCCAATCTTGAACTTGTGAACTTAAGCCATCTCCTGCCTAAGCCTCCCTCAGCAGTTGTGATTACAATCAAGTACTGTTATCTCCCCCCCCCCCCCCACCACACACACACACTTTTTTATTTCCCCTAGAGACAGGGTTTCTCTGTGTAACAGCTCCGGCTGTCGTGGAACTTGCTTTGTAGACAAGGCAGGCCTCAAACTCCTAGAGATTCACCTTCATTTGCCTCCCATGTGCTGGGGTTAAAGGCATGTGCAACCACACCCACTTATGCCCTCCTTTTTAAATCCTTTAGTTTTAATAGTGTTTTGTATCTGGGTGATGTGTGTATGTGTGTGCACTCGTGTGTGGTGCATACAAATAAGTGTGGAGTACATGCTCCTGTGTACAGACTTGTAGGCAGCAGAGGGTTGTATAAGTGTGGAGTACATGCTCCTGTGTACAGACTTGTAGGCAGCAGAGGGTTGTGTCTTCTATTGCTTTGTTCTCTCTCAGAGAGAGACTCTCTGAACTGAAGTCCTGCCACTTCAGCTAGACCGACTGGCTAGTGAGCTCTCCGGCTGCTTGTCTCCTCCCTCCAGTGCTTGGGTAACAGGCCTATACAGCCTTGCTCAGCTTTTAATGTGTTTGCTAGGGATTTGAACTCAGGTCTTCATGCTCATTCCAGAGCAAGCCCTTACCCAGTGAGCCTGTCCTGTTCTTTAAGGTAAGAGCTAGAAAGTATAACAGATGGATGTGTTGTCTTGCTTACTGCTCCTGAACAGGCTTCTCTTAAAATCTGCTTAACCTGTGTTAATTTTGGGGGGCAGGGGATTGAAACAGGATTTCTCTGTGTAGCCCTGGCTGTCCTGGAACCACTTGGTAGTAGACCAGGCTGGCCTCAAATTTATAGAGATCCTCCTGCCTCTGCCTTCTGAGTACTGGGATTAAAGGTGTGGGGCACCACTGCCCAGCTAGAAGTATTTCTTAAGATTGAAGAAAACATATTTTTTTTTTTTTTTTTACGAGTGTCAACATAAAGTAGTAAGGTTCACTGCTTTTTTTCCTACAGAGGGGTATTGCAGTCACTCATTGAAAAACACTTCCCTGCTCCAGACAGGAAGAAACTTTATAGTTTGCTAGGAATCGATTTGACAGCTCCAAGTAACAACAGTTCACCGAGAGATAGTCCCTGTAAAGAAAATAAGATGAAGAAGCGGAAAGGTGAGTGCTTTTTTAAGTCGTTGATGCTAGCAGTGCCGATGGTCTGAGTTTGGAGTAGCTGTTTGTGACTGAGCTCCTGCCTTCCTTGAGTGGGAAGGGGCTGCTGCTTTCTCTTTGCTGAGTCCTGAGTGAATGCACAAGTGCTCCCACTTCCTTGGATTAGCTGGATACTCTGTCCAGCACTTAGAACTGAGAACCTTTTCAGCTCTGTGGGAAGGTTAGGCTTTGGTAGGGTCACTTCGGCTCTGTGTTGTGAGTGCTGCTGGTTAATAAATGTGGAACTGGCTGGTCACCTCCTCTTTTGGAAGTATTGGGTGGTGCTTGTCTTCCTCCTGCTTCAGTTTCTGGAGCAGCTGGGTTGCAGGCATTATGTTCGATTAGTGCAGCTATTAATCTTTAGGAGTGCATTCACCCCTGTGTGATAACTAGCTTGTGATGGTGAAAACTAGAATCTGTGTTTGGGTGCTCTCTGTGCTGTTTGACTTTCAGAAGTGAGGGGTGGATTCTGATATAAAAGCCAGGATGCCTTCTGGGCCTTGGGCTCCTGCCTGAGCATACTCAGACAGAAATACCTGCAGTGCTATGTGTTCTCAGTAGTGACTGACACTGTAATCAGTATAGATAGGACAGAATACATACTCTTCATAGTAAAATGTTTTTTTATAACATTAGTGTGTGGATGTACATGGGCCATTGTGAATGTGAGGACAATTTGCAGGGGTTGATCACTTTTTACCATGTAGGTTTTGGGGTCCAACTTAGGTCCTCAGGGTTTGTGACAAGCACTCTATCTACTGAACCATTTCAGTGGTCCTCCTATTTGTAATGCACTTGAAGTGAGTGGACTGCTACCCCTTAACACACCCTGTGCTTTTTGATTGAGTAGTGGGGTAGAGTAGCTGACTTCTCCCTGTGTCTCAACATTAGGTTTTCTCTGGTCCATTAATAAGAGAACCTCTGATGGTTTGGTTTTAGTTTTATAACATTCACAGTCTGTTTTCTAAATATTAGGTAACTCAAACCAACCACTTATTACCTTTAAAAATAAGATTTTTATAAATCAGTATGTCTGTCTGTCTGTCCTTCTCCTCCTTCATTTGTTTAAGACAGGGTCTCATTATGTAGTCCTAATGCACCTAGAACTCACTCTGTAGACTAGGCAGGCTTTGGACTCACCAGAGACCTGTCTGTCTACGTCCCGAGTGCTGGGATTAGAGACTACCATACCTGGCTTATAGATTAATTTTTCTAGTTATTTCATGCCTGTTTGCACTCAGTCTTGAGTTTGTATTTATTTTGTATGGTTTGAGGATTTCAACCATGCATGCATGTAATGTGGTTTGATCCAGCCCCTCATTTTCTTTCCATCAGTTTTGAGTTTGTATTTATGTATCTAGTTTCTTGTTGAGTCGCTGACCATGACCAGGGCTCTTGGTTCTTGTAAGCTTGCTTTGTTGTTCAAATATACACTCTTGGTGCCTGTAGTTCTCACTAGACTCAACTAATAATCTAAAATCTGACACCATGGATCTTTAGAAACATTGAATTTCCAGCTGATTCTTGTTTGGGGCTTGAGGGTAGGTGAAGAAATAACCCGAGAAGCCAAAAAAGCACGAAAAGTTGGTGGCCTTACTGGTAGCAGTTCTGATGACAGCGGAAGTGAGTCTGATGTCTCTGACAATGAAGAAAGCGACTATGAGAGCTCTAAAAACATGAGCTCTGGTGATGATGACGATTTCAATCCCTTCAGAGATGAGTCCAGTGAAGACAACGAGGACGGTGAGTTCACTGAACTGTTGCATGAGAGCAGAAGGGGACTCGGCTGCTGGTCTGTGTGTACACCTTTAATCGCAGCATTGGGGATGCAGAGGCAGGAGGATCTATCTCTGAGTTTTCAGGCCAGCCAGAGTTACATAGTGAGACCCTGTCTGAAAAATAGACAAAAAATAAAGGTGCTAGAGAGATGGCTCTATGGTTAAGAGAACCTGAGTTTAGTTTCCAGCATCCGAGTTGGTGAGCTCATAACTTCCCGAACTCCAGCTCCACGATCATTTGACTTCCACAGACACCTGCCTGGACTGTGTACATAAACTCTCATACAGATTCACACACATACCCATAGTTAAAATAAAAATAAAACAAATCAGCCGGGCTGTGGTGGCATACACCTTTAATCCCAGCACTCAGGAAGCAAAGGCAGGTGGATCTCTCTAAGTTTGAGGCCAGCCTAGTACACAGAGCAAGTTCCAGGACAACTAGAACCCTGTCTCAAAAAAAAGTCTATATTGGTCTAACAAATTATTTGATACATATTTGCCTTTGTTTTAGATCCTTGGTTAATTAGGAAAGACCACAAGAAAAGCAAAGATAAAAAAAAGAAGAAAAGTATAGATCCAGATTCCATTCAAAGTGCCTTGTTAGCATCAGGTCTTGGTTCAAAGCGGCCTAGTTTCTCCTCTACGCCCGTCATCTCACCTGCTCCCAACAGTGCACCAGGTACTGTGCAGAAAGTCCTACTTTGGAAATGTGCTGTTATCGAATCGGGTATTGAAGTTTGACTGATTAACAACTGTTCTTTATCAGCTAACAGTAACACCAACAGTAACAGTAGCCTTATAACGAGTCAGGATGCTGTAGAAAGGGCACAGCAGATGAAGAAAGACCTGCTTGATAAACTAGAAAAATTAGCTGAAGACCTCCCTCCTAACACCCTGGATGAACTTATTGATGCACTTGGTGGTCCTGAAAATGTGGCTGAGGTAAATAGATGTGGTTAGTGCTGTGCTCTTTCCTATTACAATTTTCTTCTCGCTTTAAGTCCTGTGACATGAGTGTCCTGTTCTCTGGACACAGCTTAGAACCTTGTTCTGCTTTAGTTCTCAGCATATGACTGCAGACGGCTGAGGTTTGCCTGAGCCTGGTTCCTGGACTGTTGGGAAGCTTTTGTGATGGTCGCCATGGACCAGTTTTTCATGTTGCGATGTTCTTTTGTCCCAGTGAAGCTTGTATCATCCATGTTTCATGCTCCTAGCCAATTTCCTTAAAGCTCTGTGTTGATGTTTACTCCTCAGATGACTGGCCGCAAGGGCCGGGTGGTGAGCAATGATGATGGACGCATATCTTATGAGTCAAGGTCGGAAGTTGATGTTCCTGTGGAAATTCTAAACCTCACGGAGAAGCAAAGGTTTATGGATGGAGAGAAGGTCTGTTTTCCTGGGGTGCTTTTCAATAGAAGGCCTTAGAAGGGTTTGCCCTCCGTCCCTCCATACCCACAGATTCTCTTATATGCTTGTCGAATAGTCTATTTTTATTAGTAATTGTACTGATATTCTTGTTTTGGTTTTATTTTTGGTTTTTCAACACAGGGTTTCTCTGTGTAGCTTTGGAGCCTATCCTGGAACTCCTCTGTGTACCAGGCTGGCCTTGAACTCAGAGAGATCCTCCTGCCTCTGCCTCCTGAGTGCTGGGATTAAAGGTGTATGCCACCACTGCCGCACAGCTGGACTTATTATTTTACATGCTATAGTGGTTATAAGGGAAATGTAGTGTAGATTCTGTATGGTGCACAAGAGCATTGTTCTCGGTATTTAGGAGAACTTTTGAACTCTTGGACACACAAGCCAGGTGAGATGATGCACCTTGGAAGTCGAGGCAGGAGGATTGGGAGCTCTGTCTTGGTGGCTACAGTAGAGCAGGAGTTTTAAACTAGCATGGCCTACATGAAGCCTTGTCTGAAAAATTAGAGAGATACAGGGGTAACTTAATCTGAATATAAAAGCAGCGAGTCATTGTAGTGATTTCTTTGCTCTCTTTCCCTCCCTTCTTCCCTTCTTCCTTGTAGTAGTTACTTTTGCATAGCTGCCGTTAGATACCCAACAGTAGCTTAGGACTGAAAGTTCATCTGGGCTCATGATTTCATACTTGTAGCCTGTTGTGAAGGAAGGACACAAGGATCAACTCTGTTCATGTGACGACAGTGACGGAAACAAAAGAGAACACAGGGATGACAGTTAGCTGTTAATGTTAGGACATAGAGTGGCATTTAATCTTGAGTCTAAAGCAATATTTACAAACGCTGCTGGCGGGGTTGGGGGAGGTGGGGGTGGGGTGGCGGAGGCAGCTGCAGCGCCACATGCCTTTAATCCCAGCACTCAGATGGCAGGGGTGAGGGGATCTCTGTGAGTCTGAGGCCAGCCTGGTCTACAGAGTGAGTTCCAGGACAGCCAGGACTACACAGAGAAGAGAAACCCTGTTCCAAGACCCCAGACCCCCAAAAGAACAAAACTAAAAAACAAAACAGTTAAAAACAAACAAAAGATTTACTTGTTTAATGTTTAACTCTGTGTGTGTCTGCATGTGCCCACAGAGGCCAGAAGAGGGCATTGGATCCCCTGGAGCTGAAGTTATAGATTGTGTGAGCCATTGAATGGGTACTAGGAATTGAGCTTGAGTCCCCTGCAAGAATAAGGGCTCTAACCACTAAGTCATCTCTCCAGCCTCAGGAAAGAAGTGGCTTTTGAAAAGTTTCGTTGTCTTTAGTTTTATTTTTTTGTGTATGAGTTGTTTTTAGTTTTCTTCTTTTTTCGTTTTTCTTTTTCTTTTTTCTGTGTTTCTTTTCCAGGCTGTCCTGGAACTCAGCTCTGTAAACCAGGCTAGCCTAGAAATCCAAGGTTCCCCTGCCTCTTCTGGAATTAAAGGCTTATGCCACAAATCCCGGCTCGCTTGCTCTCTCTTTCTTTTCTCTGTCTGTCTCTCCCCCCACCTTCCCTTCTTTTGTACTAGGACTAAACATTTATGCCACCACACCTGTGAGTGTTCGCCTGTGTGTGTATACAGGCACCAAGCATGTTCTGGGTACGTGTGGAGGCCATAAGACGATGTCAGGTTCCCTAGGATTGGAGTGAGAGTTTACATGATTATCTCTTGAATATAGGCCCGTGTATGGAAGGAATTTGTCAAAATCAACCAGTTGTCTTTGTTAGGGTTTCTGTTGCTGTGAAGAGACACCATGACCATGACAACTCTTATAAAGGAAAACATTTCATTGGACCTAGCTTACAGTTTCAGAGGTTTTGCCCGTTATCATCATAGTAAGAAGCATGACAGTGTGCAGGCAGACATGGTGCTGGAGGAGCTGAGAGTTGTACATCCAGATCAGCAAGCAGCAGGAAGAGAATGACCACTAGGCCTGGCTTGAGCTTCTGATGCCTCAAAGCCTGTGTCCAATGCATGGCTTACTCCAACAAGGCCATACCTATTCCAACAAGACCACAATTCCTAATAGTATCACTCCCTGTGACCAGACATTCAATAATAGTTTATGGGGGCCATTCCTATTCAAATCTCAGTTGTTAAATCATATTTGTAAAAAGTTATTACATTTATTATTGTGTGGATGTATGTTTGTGGGCAGGCATGCTATGTCATTGGTATGGAAGTCAGAGGATAACTGATGGGAATCATTTGAGCCCTGAATGGGGATTGAATTCAGGTTGTAAGACTCTGAACAAGTTGCTCTTACATACTTACAGCTGAAACAAGATATTATTTCTTTTTCTTTTTTTAAAGATTTATTACATATAAGTGCGTGTATGCCTGCATACCTGAAGAGGGCACTAGATCTCATTCTAGATGGTTGTGAGCCACCATGTGGTTGCTGGGAATTGAACTCAGGACCTCTGGAAGAACAGCCAGTGCTCTTAACCTCTGAGCCATCATTCTAGTCGATATTATTTCTTTCATGTATGTCTTGGTAGGGTTTCTTCACAGAGAAACCATGACCACAGCAACTTTTTTTTTTTAAGATTTACTTATTATGTATACAATGTTCTGCCTGCATATATGTCTGCAGGCCAGAAGAGGGCGCCAGATCTCATTACAGATGGTTGTGAGCCACCATGTGGTTGCTGGGAATTGAACTCAGGACCTCTGGAAGAGTAGTCAATGCTCTTAACCTCTGAGCCATCTCTCCAGCCCCACAGCAACTCTTATAAAGGAAACATTTAATTGAGGTGGTAACTTACAGTTGAGAGGTGTAGTCTGTTATCATGGTGGGAGCACAGCAGACAAGGTGCTAGAGAGGGAGTGTTGGCAGAAGTTTCTGTCCTGCCAGCAGCTCCCACATAAACACACTGAGGCTTGTATTAATGATAAATTATATTTGAATTAACTCATTTCTTATCTATGCTTTGCCACATGGCTTGGTACCTTTTCCCAATATGGCATGCCCATCTTGCTTCTCTGTGCATCTGCTAGGGACTCCTGACTCTGCCCCACTCCTTCCGGCATTCTTAGTTTAGCTCTCCTGTCCGACATTACTCTGTTCAGCTATTGGCCAGTCAGCTTGTTTATTAAACCAGTCTCAGTGACCAATCTTCACAGTGGATAAAGGGATTATTCCACAGCAAGGTAGCTGAGATTCCTACATCTTGTAGGCAACAGGAAGTGGCTGAGTGAAGCTTAAACAAAAGAGACCTCAAAGCCTGCCCCCACAGTGACACACCAGGTCCCACCTGGACAGCAGCCGTTTTTATAAAACAATCACTGAGGCTTAATACTAATTATAAGCTGTTTGTTCTATGGCCCAGGCTTATTGCTAGTAGCTAGCTATTACATCTTAAATTAACTCATTTTTATCAATTTATATATCACTATTTGTCTTGTGGCTTTACCTGTGTTCTATTACATCTTGCTACCCTGGCAGCTCACAGCTTCTTCTCTCTATATCTCTTTTGCCATAGGCCAAAACAGCTTCTTTATTAACCAATAGTAGCAACACATATTCACAGCATACACAAAGACCATCCGACAGCAACACACTTCTTTCAACAAGGCCAGACCCCCCAATAGTGCCACTCCCTATGAGCTTATAGGGGCCAATTACATTCAAACTACCACATTCCACTCCCTGGCTCGCATAAGCTTGTAACAATATCATAATAGTCCAGTATGCTCCCTTCTACATTTTGGAACGTTAACCCTGTGCCATTATATATTGGAAGTATGTAATCTGTTTTTGATTTTGATTTTATAAGAGATTGTGTGAATCTCAGAAGAGTCTTTGAACTTTTGACTTTTAGACATTGTTGAGACTGTGATAGACTATGGGGACTTTTGAAGTTGGACTAAAGGCATTTTGTGTTATGATATTGTTAAAAGTTTATGGAGGCCAGGGAGTGGAATGTGGTAATTTGAGTGTAATTGATCCCCATAAGCTTGTAGAGAATGGCACTATTAGGAGGTGTGGCTTTGTTGGAGTGGATATGATGGCCATGTTAGAGGCAGTGTGTCACTGTGGGGGCAGGCTTTGAGGTTTCCTATGCTCAGGAACTGTCCAGTGTCTCTGTTGACTTCCTGTTGCCTGTAAGATGTAGGGCTCTCAACTACTTCTCCAGCACCATGTCTGCCTGCACACCGCCATGCTTCCCACCATGATGATAATGGATTGAACCTCTGAAACGGTAAGTGAGCCACCCCAATTAAATGTTTTCCTTTTAAGAGTTGCCATGGTCATGGTGTCTCTTCACAGCAACAGAAACCCTATGACGATGTACACATGTTTGTGTGTTGACTAAGAGTGTGGTAGCATATGCCTGTAATTTTAGAACTTTTGAGGCTGAGGCAGGTGGATCCTGGGTCTTAGGCTAGCTTTGCCTACATAGGAAACTTGGTCTCAAAAACAGTTTTTAAAGAAGAAGAAATGAATACATTGCTCTGACTTTCTCTACCACTCCTCTCTTTCCTCCCTCTCCCTCTACTCCCTCCCCTGAGACAGGACTTTGCTGTTCTACCTAGACTGCTCATTTTCTCCAGTTTCTAGTTTCAAGTGGTCCTCTGCTTCAGCCTCTGGAGGAGACGAGACCACTATTATCCTTGTTTTTTTGAGTGTGGCTTTGTTATGCAGCCCAGGATGGCTTTGGATTCATTTTTCCCTCCTGCCTCACTCAGCCTCCTCCGTACTAGGATTACAGGTGTACATCATCATGCCTATATCCTCCCTGTTCTGGGACTTAAACTGAGGGTCTCGTGCTTGTTGGGTGTGTTCTCCACCTGTGAGTTCCATCATTAGCATTTTTCCCCCCTTATGTTACAATTGGTGGTGACAGTAGGCCTTCCTGTGTGCATCAGGCACGTGAAAACTCAGGACACGCTGCCCTGTCTTCTACTCCAAATAACGTGTCTTGGACATTATATCTGCCACCTGTGTCTTCCTGACTGCAGCTTGCCTGTGTGCTCATACTTAGTATTAAGGGAGACTAGGAGAGCTAATCTCGACTTTGGGCAACCACATGCCACGCTGACTGACAGCAGGGCATCTGACTGCTTTGAAAAGGGAGTAGAATACGTACTGGTGTCCATCACTGTCCACTAAAGGAAGTTCTCTAGGCACTGATCTTCCCTGTCTTTGCTCAGAGGTGATTTTTGTTTACTTTTTCAATTTGATATAGAATATTGCTATAATCTCAGAAGCTGCCAGCTCAGGTATTTCATTACAAGCCGATCGGAGAGCTGTAAATCAAAGGCGACGAGTTCACATGACTTTGGAGTTACCCTGGAGTGCTGATAGGGCGATTCAGCAATTTGGTAAGTGTCTCCACTGGATCCCTCTGGGAGAAAAGGTGTTTCTGGAGACATGCATGCATGTCTGTACGAGACACCATAAGCCTTGGAATGCTCAGATTCCGCATGGGAAATGTGTTCTCTATATACTATGATGTGTAGTGGATTATGGATTCCTTTTTGCCTGATTTTGGACAGTATTGAGATCAGTGGTAGGATTGCACAGGGGCCCTGGCCTCCAAGAACAGGGTTCCTTGAAAGTATCTTCATTGTAGATTTGCACAGTTTGTGGGTCTGTCAGAGTAGTCACCTATTTCCATGTTCATTTCTACCCTTAGCAGCTGCATGTAAGGTGTTTCCCTGTGCGTTTTCCTGTGGCCTGGTGATCCCACCACACATAACATCCAGAACAGCTATGTAGTAACACTGGTTAGCCAAATGGTGGCAGCACTTTGCCGTTTACCATAGGGTCTAGTCCTTGAGTAGTGATGACATTGATGTTAAAATTAAGTTGCTGTTCAGCGAGCAATGAGAAGGGTTGTTACATCATCTTTACTTTTTGTTTTCAAGGGTATTTTAGTTAGATGAGTGCCAACTTAGCCAGGCTTGATGTATAGACTTGTAATCCCAGCACTTGATTAGTAGAGGCAGAAGTACTAGGTGTTTAAGGCCTGACTAGCTACATAGTGAGTTTGAGGTCATTCTGGACTATGTGAGACCTTATCTGTATTCAGTGTTAAATGCTAGGAATTAGATCTCAGAATACCCTGCTCTACCTAATGAACATAATCATTGAACTGTATACATTGTTGTTACAGGAAGAACACATAGGTCAAACCAAGTGACTGCTCCAGAGTATGTCTTTTTGATTTCGGAACTGGCTGGAGAGCAGAGATTTGCATCTATTGTTGCTAAGAGACTTGAGAGTTTGGTAAGTTTTTGAGTTGCGTCGGATGTCTGTGACAGGTGATTTGTGTTAGCTGACTTCTGGGAGGGGTTGATGGTGACTTGACCAGGAGTTGTGTATTTTCCAGGGAGCACTTACACATGGTGACAGAAGAGCAACAGAGTCTAGAGATCTGAGCAGGTTCAACTTTGACAACAAGGTACGTTCCTCCACCTAACGCTGCAGATGTTTGCCGTTTGTGCAGTGTCAGAAAGGGACCTTGACTGCTGTTGAAAAGGAAATGCTCTGCTTGCTGTTAGCTCTGCCTTGTAGACCTTCATGTGAGATGAGATTTCCCACATCATTTAATCTGTACGTACTTTTATTCCTGTTGGAAAACACTACTAGAGTATTTGTGAAGGCATCAAGAATGAGTTATTAGAAATAAAAGAAGTCATTAATGTACTGACTATCTGCTATCTGTAAGGGCACAGAATAGACAGTCAAAAAAGTATGTGTTCTGAATTTTTGTTACAATTAGAGTTTTCATGGCATTTAAGTGGGTAAAAAAAATACCCAAATGTTAAAGCTGACTAACACATTTTTTTCTTTATTACAGTATGGAAGAAATGCTTTGGAAATTGTTATGAAATCCATTGTAAACTTGGATTCTCCTATGGTCTCACCACCTCCAGACTACCCCGGAGAATTCTTTAAAGGTGACTTAAGATGTCCTTATGTAATCGTTAATCAGCTGGTATCCTACTTGTACAAAGTTGTTGTGATTTTTGTGGGTACCTAGATAAAGGATCTCTATAATATACAGGATGCTCTTGTGAAAAGATAAAATTTGTCGTATGTATGTGTGTGTTTTAGTTATTTTGAGAGAGTGGTGTAGTGAATGTTCCAGCCTGTGTGGAGATCAAAGGACAACTTGTGGGACTTCATTCCCCGTCACCATTGTGGGTCCCAGGAATTGGCATCAGGCATAGCAGCAGCAAGCATCCTTACCCCCTAAGCCATCTCTATAGCTCTGGTTTGGTTTTTTGAGATAGACTGTAACCCAAGTTGGCCTGGAATTCACTCATGCTGGAGTTTAACTTGAAGCTGTTCTCCTGCCTCAGCCTCTTGAGTCCTGTGTGAAGTCACCAAAGAAAAGGTGTAATTTTTTTTTGTTTTTTGTTTTTTGTTTTTTTTTTGTTTTTCGAGACAGGGTTTCTTTGTGTAGCTTTAGAGCCTATCCTGGAACTCACTTGGTAGCCCAGGCTGGCCTCGAACTCACAGAGATCCACCTGGCTCTGCCTCCCGAGTGCTGGGATTGAAGGCGTGCACCACCACCGCCCGGCAAAGGTGTATTTTTGTTTGGTTGATTTTTTTTTCCCCCCCCCAAGACAGGGTATTTCTGTGTAACCCTGACATTCCTGGAACTCACTCTATAGACCAGGATAACCTGGAACTCACAGAGTTCCTCTTGCCTCTGCCTCGCTAGTATTAGGGATTTTAGCCGTACACCACCACCTGGCTAAATTTTTGTTTATTATGTGTTTGTTCATTCATTTATTTATTTGATTAGCCCTGGCTGTTCTGGAACTAGCTCTGTAGACTCAGAAGAGATAGGCCTACCTCTGCCTCCCAGTGCTGGGATTAAAGGTGTGCACCAGCATGCCTATCTGGTGATAACGGTGTTTTAATGAAGGGCTAGGGAAACTTTTAGTGGTAGCAGCCTAGGGTTCAATCTCCAGCACTACCAAAAACACTAGAACCAAACAAACTAGACACAATGTGAGATTCGGTGATTTAGGCTGATTAGCAGTTCAATTCAGGTGACTGGAATAGAGCAAGATACATAGGTTAAATCTTAATCCTAGAACCTAATCTGTTTGATTAACAGTTCACTGAATCATTTGGATTGTGAAGAACGTTGATATTTTTTTTTTCTTACAGATGTTCGGCAAGGATTGATAGGAGTAGGCCTGATCAATGTGGAGGATCGGTCAGGAATTCTTACTCTGGATAAAGGTAGTGTCGCTGTGTGTGGAACGTGTGTTTATTGATGAGCCTTCTACAGAAGCCTCAGTTCACCTCTTGGTGGGAGCATGCTTGTGAAGGTTTGAGTTCCATGGCTTACTTGTCAAAGAATCCGCAACTCGCCGGGCGGTGGTGGCGCACGCCTTTAATCCCAGCACTCGGGAGGCAGAGCCAGGCGGATCTCTGTGAGTTCGAGGCCAGCCTGGGCTACCAAGTGAGTTCCAGGAAAAGGCGCAAAGCTACACAGAGAAACCCTGTCTCGAAAAACCAAAAAAAAAAAAAAAAAAAAAAAAAAGAATCCGCAACTCAAGTGCGCGTGTGTTCATGCTTGTGAAAGCCAGAGGATGACTTTGGGAAATCTGTTTCCGCTTTTGTCCTGACTACTCTGTGCCGGCTGGCCCATAAGTTTCTGGGTGTGTCTTTCTTCTGTGCCTGCCTCCCTCCCACTGTAAAATTGCTTGCATTGCGGATAGGCACTGCATCGGGCATTTTTTACTTGTTAGTTGTGATGATCCAGCTGACCAGTCTTGGATGGCAAGCACTTGGACCAGCCCTGTCACTTTGTATTTCTGTGTCTCACTCCAGCCTGGACTCATGGCAGTGCTTTGTCTTAGCTACCCTAGTGCTGGGGTTACAGCTGGTTCTGGACTGGAGCCCAGAGCCTGTACTAATTAGTCCACCGAGTTAGTTACCTGAAGCCCTCTTTGTACTGTTTCTATTCATAGGGATTTACATTACTAAAAGTAAGCATCCATATGAATGTGACAGGTAAAGGTAGGAAAGGATGGCAGGGCCCAGAAGAAAGAAAAAAACTCCAGGTTCATCCTGTCCTGGATTTCATGATCTCCCAGAGACATGTGCTCAGAAATTATATGCCACTTCTTTAAAAAAAATACTATCCCAGCAGGGTACTGTTTGGGCTGTAAACAGTTTCCTTGGGTGTCGTTGGTTTTGCACTTGTTCACATGGACTTTGTTCCCCAGGTGGTTATTGGCAGTGAACTAAGTCATTCTGGCCACAGCTTGAATTGCCCTAAACCTACTGATGCCGAAACCACCTCTCTCTCTCTTTTTTTTTTTTTTAAATCTCATTCATTTTATTTATTTAGTTGTTTACTGATCTGGTTGGCTTGTTTGTTGAGGTGGGGGTGTTTCTCTTTCTTTATTTGGTGAGGTGGGGGTCTTTCTATGTCTCCCTGGCTGTTCTAGAACTTGCTATGTAGACCAGGCTGGTTGGTCTTAGAACTCAGAGATTACCTGCCTCTGCCCTTGAGTGTTCCTCTTTATTTTTTGAGGTAGTGTCACTGCATGGGCCAGGTTCACCTTTACCTTACTCTGTACGGAATCTAGGCTTTGAACCTCTTACCTTAGCCTCCTGAGTAACTGAGATAAGCAGTGTGCCCTTGGGCCAGGCCTTTAATAGATCCTTTTAACCCCATATTATAACTAGCCCTGGCTACAGCTATGATCAACTTGGTCAGGAGTTTGTTGTCTTTTCAGGTTTTGTTTTGTTTCTATGACAGGGTGTCATTGTATAGCCTAAGCTAGAACTCACCATGTAACCAAGGTTGGCCTTGAACTTGTGTCAGTCCTCGGGCCTTAGCCTTCCAAATGCTCAGATGTAATTTAAGTTACCCTGCCTGGCTAAGATTTAAAGAAATATGGGTGATGGTGGCGCACGCCTTTAATCCCAGCACTCAGGAGGCAGAGGCAGGTGGATCTTTGTGAGTTCAAGGCCAGCCTGGTCTACAGAGTTCCAAGAAAGGCACAAAGCTACACAGAAAAACTCTGTCTTGAAACCCTCTCCCCCCCCCAAAAAAAAGATTTAAAGAAATACTGATCCATGGACTAGACAGATTGCACAGCAGTTAAGGGAACTTGTTCAGGCAAAGGACCGGAGTTGGGTTCCCAGAACTATTACTTAAATTGGTTAGCTCACAGTCACCTGTAACCCCATCTTCAGGAGATCTGCTATCACCTTTGGCCTTTGAGGATACCTAGGCTTTGACACACATATCCCAACACAGACAAATACACATAAATAAAAATAAAGTAAGTTTTTTAAAAAGTAACTGAATCCAGGAGCAGAGTTCAGACATGAGTAGTTTTCCAAAGCTCCGGGGCATTCCAGTTGTGTAGCCAGGGTTGAGAGTCACAATTTAGCAGTTAAACTTGAGTTAAAATCTAATGTTGTGAAGCTGAGTTTTGTGATGTAAGCCTGTAATCAAACCCAGCATTGGGGAAGTTGAAACAAGTTGGAGACTGCGTCTCAAAAAAGATTTGGAGCCAGAGATACTCAGCAGTTAAGAGCTTGCAGAATATCTGAGGTCAGTTTCCTGCACTCATATACACATACCCTCACACATTCCATATAATTAAAAACAAAGATGGAGGTGATGGTGGCGCACACCTTTAACCCAGCACTCAGGAGGCAGAGGCAGGAGGCCAGCCTGATCTACAGAGCTAATTCCAGGACAGCCAAAGCAACACAGAGAAACCCTTTCCTGAAAAACCTAAATAAATACGTTGCTCGAAATCTATATGGTCTTAATAAAAACCTGGAGCCAGATATTGAGGTAAATGCTGAATGATCAGAGACAAAGGAATGAACCACAGCCACTTCTCACCTCGCCGACTCTGACAGAATGCCTCTGAGTCCTTAGCCAAAAGGCTCTAGTTCCTGTCTCCTCACGCCTTATATACCTTTCTCCACCCAGCCATTTCACTTCCTTCCTAGTGTTGGGATTAAGGGCATGTGTGCTTCCCAGATACTGATAGCAAAGGCATGAGATCTCAAGTGCTGGGATTAAAGGTGTGTGCCACCACTGCCTGGCTCTGTTTCCCTCCTATACTGAATTAATCTCATGTAGTCCAGGGTGGCTTTGAACTCACAGAGATCCAGATGGATCTCTGCCTCCTGGGTGCTAGGATTAAAGGTATGTGCCATCACTGCCTGGCCTCTAGGTTTAATCTAGTGGCAGGCTCTGTCCTCTGATCCTCAGGCAAGCTTTATTTGATATACAATACATTACCACGTACATACATACATACATACATACATAAGCAAACAAATTGGGGCTAGAGTGATGGCTTGGTGTGTACAGGCACTTCCAGGTGTGTTCCCAGCATCCACAGGGAAACTCACAGCTCTAGTCCAGGGGGTCCTATGCCCTCTCCTGGCTTTCTCAGGCTACAGACGCAGGCAAGTGGTGTACAGACGCCAAGCAGTCAAAAAACACCCCTACTTGGAAAATAAATATACATTAAAATAAATCTAAGCTGGGTGGTGGTGGCAGCGGCCGCGCTTGCCTTTAATCCCAGGGTTGGAGAGGCAGAGGCAGGTGGATCTCAGTGAGCTCAAAGCCTACCTTGTCTACAGAGTGAGTTCCAGAACTGTTGTACAGAGAAACCCTTTCTTGGGGAAGAAAAAAAGTAAATAACTAAATCTAGTAAAAGATTTGGGGGCTGGAGAGATGGCTCAGAGGTTAAGAGCACCGACTGTTCTTCCAGAGGTCCTGAGTTCAATTCCCAGCAACCACATGGTGACTCACAACCATCTGTAATGAGATCTGGTGCCTTCTTCTGTGTACATAATAAATAAATAAATAAATCTTAAAAAAAAAAAGATTTGATGTTGTTGAACCAATATCCTTACATGCTAAAGTATATTCATGGAATAGTAGAAGGTATAAAAAGTTAGTTTGACTGTCGTGTGAGCTTGTGTTGCAAGTGCTGGTGGTCAAAGGTGGAAACGTGCAAGTGTCAGTACTACAGCCCCACTCTAAGGGCACTTCAAAAGCTGGGGGGAGGGCTAGACCGGGAAGTGAGACTCGGAAGCTTTGCCTAGCTAAAGGATACATTTTTAATTTATCATGGGAATTCATGGAATCTTTCATATAATCTTGTCATTGTAGACTATAACAATATAGGAAAATTCCTAAACAGAATTCTGGGCATGGAGGTGCATCAGCAGAATGCGTTGTTTCAGTATTTCGCAGACACACTTACTGCAGTTGTTCAAAATGCCAAGAAGAATGGAAGATATGACATGGGAATCCTAGGTGAGTGGGGACACTTCTGTCCTCTCTGTGCTCCTGGTCCAGAGTATCTCCCCATTTATACGTCCTGTTTCTTTCTGAAGATCTGGGTTCTGGAGATGAGAAGGTGAGGAAGAGTGATGTGAAGAAGTTTCTGACTCCAGGCTACTCAACCTCTGGCCATGTAGAGCTATACACAGTAAGTCTAGAAAGTGCATGTTGCTCACTGGTGTCCATTCATGAGCTGTTTTTAAATCTCTATGTATCTTCCGCAGATTAGTGTGGAGAGGGGAATGTCCTGGGAAGAAGCAACCAAGATTTGGGCAGAGCTGACAGGACCAGATGATGGCTTTTACTTATCATTGCAAGTAAGAATTGAATTTTCTTCAAAGGCTTACCAGGAAATATCATGCTTCTTCTTGGTTTCTTACTTATTTTTGTGGCTTCAGTTTTACTTTTCTTTTTGAGACAGATCTCACTATGTTGACCTGGCTTGTTCTAGAAAACTCTTGTCAATTAGAGTAGCCTTGAATTCAGGGATTACCTTATGTCTGCCTCTGGAGTACACAATCATGCCTGGCTCACCTTAGCCATTAACCTTTTTATTTATTTATTTAATATTGTGTATGGATGCCATGTCAGGCTTAATTTTATTTTATATGTATAGAATGTTTTGCTTACGTGAGCATCTGTGTATGGAGTTTGTGTCTGGTGCCCATAGAGGCCAGGAAGAGCATCAGACCTCCCTGGAACTGGAGTTACAGACAGTTGAGAGCCAAACCAAACCCGGGTCCTCTCCAGGGCTCTTCACCAGTGAGCCATCTTTGCAGCCCCGCACATCCTAATTTTAAGCGGTGGTGTTTCTGGGCTGTGGGAACAGTGGGCGGTTACAGAGTCTACTCTTGGAGCCTCTCGTCTACCCTGGGGTTGCTTTTGATCACGCACCAGTGCTTCTTGCTGCCTGCCTCATATTTGCTTGGTCTGCCTGGTGCTCTTGTAGAAAGGCCTCTGGGAGCTCGGCTGCATTTGAGTCTGTGCTCCAAAAAAAAAAAGGAGCTGGCTCAGAGGTTAAGAGCACTGGCTGCTCTTCTAGAGGTCCCAAGTTCAATTCCCAGCAACCACATGGTGACTCACAACCATCTGTAATGAGATCTGGTGCCTTCTTTTGGCCTGCAGATGTACATGCAGGCAGAACACTGCGCGATAAATAAATGAACAAATCTTTTAGAAAACTAGAAACTAGAAGTTCATCTTGGGGGTGGGGGGACAGACTAGAGAGATGGCTCAGTGGTTAAGAGCGCTGGCTGTTCTTCCAGTAGACCTGGGTTCAATTCCCAGCATCCATATGGCAGCTTACAACTCTCTCTAACTCCAGTTCCAGGGAATCTGATACCTTCACATCAAGGCACATAAAATAAGGTTAAATAAATCATTTAAATATATATATATATAATATATATATATTATATATATAATATATATATATTATATATATATATATAAAGAAGGTTTTAAAACATGAAGACTTGTTATGGCCCTCAATTTATAAGTCTTTAGCCAGAGTTAGATAAGTAGGCTCCTCCCATGTTAAACCTCAAATGTGGGCTTGTGGTTACACACTTACACATTTAGCTGGTGTTGTCTTTTGTTTGTATGTTTTGTTTTTTTTTTTTTTTTTGTTTAGACAGGGTTTCCCTGTTTAACAGTCCTGGCTGCCCTGGAGCTCAACCTGTAGCCCAGGCTGGCCTCAAACTCACGGAGATCCCCCTTCCTCTGCCTCCCAAGTGCTAGGATTAAAGGCTTAAGCCCTTAAATGGTATTGTCTTTTGAATTACTAAATTTGTTGTTGTGATGTTAAGGTAAAATATTAATTGTGTAAGATCAAATTCTTATGTATTTGTTTAATTCTTCTTTTAATAGATAAGAAACAACAAAAAAACTGCAATCTTAGTTAAAGAAGTAAACCCTAAGAAGAAACTGTTTTTAATTTACCGACCAAACACTGGGAAACAGCTCAAATTAGAAATATATGCTGATCTGAAAAAGAAATATAAGAAGGTACTTTCTCACTTACACATGGTACTGCGTGACTCCTTGGTTCATGATAGGGAACTGTGTCGGCTATAATTCCTGGGTTCAAGGATGGTGATTTTACCAAAGTAGCAAGTTTCTTATGCACGGCTGTTGCAGTTTTGATGTTACTGCCCATTGGGACAAGATGAGCTTGTGACTCTCCATGCCCAGGGCACAGTGCAGTGGTTTAGTACGTCGAGGTCCTTCATTCCATCTTTTGATTTCCAGAAAATAGTCAATATCTGTTTTTTCCAACATTACTTATTTACTTTCTATAGGTATTGCCATAACTTTCTGAAAGTAACTCTATATTCAACTAGTTCTCTGCAAAGCTCATCCCAGGAGGGCCTCATTTATCAGTGGTATTTATTTACATTCTGCTGCTAGTGGGAGCTAGGGTTTCTGATGAAGATGATTGTGTTGTTTTTGACTGCCTCTGGGATTAGTGACCAGGTCCGGTGTTGAGTTGTTGTAATGGGGTTTGCTTTGTCTTTGCAGGTAGTGTCTGACGACGCCCTGGTACACTGGCTGGATCAATACAATTCCTCTGCAGACACCTGCACTCATGCATATTGGTGAGTGCTTCCTTGTTGCTTCACTTAATTTTCTAAGTGCAGTCAAGATTTAAAGCAGCTTTTTCCTATTTTTTTGTGTGGAGCAGTGCTGAGTCACTTGTGATTGATTCTCTTACCCGGCCTCCCAAGTTTAGGAACTGTAGACATGAGCTGCAATGCCTCATTTTTATTTTTTATGAGTATGTGATTGTGAGCAAAGAAACAAGTTGCCTATTGATAGGCACAGTTCACCTCATCAGAATTATATTTAGAGACTTGGCATGGTAGTCAACGCCTGTAATCCCACATTTGGGAAGTTCGAAATCCTCATTTCCATGGGGAGTTGAGACCAGCCTCTGGGCTACATTGAGACCCTGACTTAATAACAACAGATAATGTGTACTTAGCATTTGTGAACCAGGCGCTGTTTTGGTGACATCTCTGCATGTCCTTCAGGCTTTGATATTACCACGGAGCTAGTGTCCAGCAGTATAGCCTTAATTACCATCCCTCTGGTAGAAATTGTTTCTCAATCTTTTTCTCCCCTTATTCCCTCTAATATTTTAATTTTTATTTATGGGTTTTTTGAGACAGGGTTTCTTTATGTAGCCCTGGCTTCCTTGGAACTCACTCTGTAGACTAGACTGGTCTTGAACTCACAGAGATCTGCCTCCCCAATGCTGGGATTTTGGGCATATGCCACCACTATTGGGCTTGCTTTATAATTTTTTTGAGGTAGGGTCTCTGCCCTAGTCCGGGTTGACCTGAAAACTTACTCTCAGGCCTCAACTTTTACATACTGCTTCCTTAGTCTCCTGAGTCTTGGGATTGTAGGTGCTTGCTACTGTGGCCCTGCTGCTTTCCTTTTGGCTTTAAAACCTCACTGCATAGGCCTGGTTGTTCATGTCTACAACCCCATTCCTCAATTCCTCAGGAGAATTCAGACTTGAGGCCAGACCGTGCAAGGCCCTGCTTCAAAACAAAACAAACAAACAAATCAAATCAAAACAAAACGGGGACTGGAGAGCTGGGCGGTGGTGGCGCCTTCAATCCCAGCACTGGAGAGCAGAGGCAGGCAGATCTCTGTGAGTTCAAGGCCAGCCTGGACTACAGCGGGAGTGCCAAGACAGCTAGGGCTACACAGAGAAATTCTGTCTCAAACAAACAAACCGGAGGTTGGGGGCTGGAGAGATGCTTCAGTGGCTTAAGAGTGCCTTCTGCTCTTGTAGGAAGCCCAAGTTGAGTTCCTAGCACCAATGTCAAGGGATCAACTGCCTGTAACTTAGACTAGCTCTGATGGATCACGTGCTGCCCTCCGACCTCCTCAGACACTGCAGCATCATGGCTCACTGACATGCAGGCAGAAAAGTGAAAATCAACTCTCAAAACATTAATTCCATAATGATGTGTGCACGTCCTTGTGTGACACTGGTGTGCGGCACACAGGGCGGTCAGAGGACAGCGCTGTCGAGTGGGCTCTGTCCGGGTGTCGGTGCCTGTTTTGGAGGGGCCACTTTCCCCACCCACTGTATGTTCCTTGTACTGAGTTACTTCACGTTGAGATAGACCTGCAGTGAACTGGGAGACGTTGGACTGTGCCGTGCCCTCATTTTCTCAGGCCTCAGGTCTATCTGGTGCTGTGCCCCAGTTGTTGGGCCTTTCCCACTAGTTACACGTGAAGGGGCACTAGGGCTTCACTGACAGCAGTCACTGCCACGGTGACATGGGGTGTGGCAGTGTGAGAAGTGTGTCGATAGGTAGTAACCAAGTGTGCAGGAAGGCTGAACCTTCACAAGTAATTGTAACACCTTAGGTTTGCCAAGGATGACCTAGTAAGCCCAAGGAGTGTCCTAGGAGAAAGTCATAATTTCCACTTAAAATATGACTAGGCTTTGCAGATTGGTCACGTGTGTGTGCATTTTCTATACCTGTTTCTCCTTCATGTTTCCTAGGCGTGGCAACTGCAAAAAAGCAAGTTTAGGATTGGTATGTGAGATAGGTCTCCGCTGCCGCACATACTATGTATTATGTGGCTCAGTACTGAGCGTCTGGACAAAAGTGGAGGGTGTTCTGGCCTCCGTCAGTGGCACGAATGTGAAAATGCAGATAGTGCGGCTAAGAACAGAAGATGGACAACGGATTGTAGGTGAGTGAGCTGCTTTTTTGCTTTGGTTGTGGGGAGAAAATCAAACCCCACCCTTTATTGTGTTATTATTATTATTCACATCTAACATCTTAGATTTGTTGCAGATTTATCACAGATATCAGTTATCACAAATTTATCAGTTCTAGTAGTGTGCAAAGACTATCAGAACATGCTGTCCATTCTATGATTTGAGAGCACTTAAACCTGGTTTTTGGCTGGGTGGTGGCGGCGGCGCACACAATCTCAGCACTTGGGAGGCAGAGGCAGGAGGATCTCTGTGAGTTCGAGGCCAGCCTGGTCTACAGAGAGAGATCCAGGACAGGCACCAAAACTACACAGAGAAACTCTCTCTTGAAAAAACAAAACAAAACCAAAAAAAGAAGAAGATGTGGTTTTCAGCTTCTGACTCATGTATTGAATTACCTGCTGCTGCTCCCGCAAGTGCTGGGGTCACAGCCACCGCCATAGCTGGTTGTACCTGCCTTGTAGCGGACATTGTGATCTGGCAGGAGTTGTCTCTGGCACTGCTCTCCCCTTCTCTCGCCCGTTACCCTCTATTGCTCTTTGCTCTCCTCTCCAAGGGGCTACGTTCAGCCAGGCCGAGGCTGTGCAGCTTCAGGCCATGGCACTGAGGAGAGCTTTGAGTTCTGCAGAGGCTCGGACAGCAGGCTAGGTCTGAGCACTGTGGTCAGCTGTAGCTGCCCTCCAGGTGGGCTAGGTGCCACACTGTTCCGTTCTGACAACCTCTCTGTCCAGTCAGTCAGTCAACTTCTGCTCAGGTGCTTTCAGTTGTAAAAACAGCATATAAATGAGTTTCTAGCTGCTGGTTGTTTGTTTGTTTGTTTGTTTGTTTGTTTGTTTTAAAGAAAAAGCACACTTTGCTACTACATTGAGTTCAGACTCCCCACAGGGTAGGACTGGGATTCCCTTAGCCTAGGCCCTGTGCCCCCACTTGCCCTTGTACTCTTGTGTGTCCATCTCTGTCTTTCCTGATGACTAAGATGAGCATTTCCACCCTCTGTCTTAGAGCCGTTTTGTGCCTTATTGAGTGGTAGAAGGCATGGTGTCTACAAGGTTTATGAGGCTATGCAGTGTTAGATGAGAAGTGCTGTCCTGTACACTTCAGTTTCTGCATCAGGAGATGGTGTTACACTGGGTACATGCTTGTGTGTGTGTGTGTGCGCGCACAGTCGCACACACATCTAGGAGCCTCCTGGGAACAGTTGAGTCCAGTGCTGGCCCCCGTCTGGTTTCTGGGCAGGCTGGTTGCAGTCCTCTGTGCACGTGCACTGTGCAGCGCTTCCTGCTGGACTCTACCTCATCGACTCTCCTTGCTAATTACAGGTTTGATCATTCCGGCAAATTGCGTGTCTCCTCTTGTAAATCTCCTGTCAACTTCAGACCAGTCTCAGCAGCTCGCAGTCCAACAAAAACAGCTGTGGCAGCAGCATCACCCGCAGAGCATCACCAACTTGAGCAACTCGTAAAGAGCAGCAGCTTCCACACGGTGTTGAATGCTGTGAGAGCATACCACTTGCATAAAAATCAGGGACAGTTTCCAAAGAATTCTTTTTTTTTTTTTTCAGTTGTGCTCTCTAGTTAATTTGGGGGGTTACGGACAAACCTGGAATAGGCAGCAACGCTGACAGCAAGCAGAGGGAGGGTCTCGTGTCTTTCCTCTGGCTTCCTTGGGGCTGCCTGTGTGCTTTTACTTCGGGTGAGCAGAGCGGATGTGTGCGCGAGCGGATGTGTCAGTCTGTCTGTGAGTTTGTACAACGCTACAAGACCCCAGTTGGTTGAAAATGCTTGGACCTTCCCAAACTGGCTTTACTTTTCCTTTCTACCGTGCTCAGGGTTAACACAGTTCATCCTTGTCATTGCTGTGGGGGTTCCCCGGATGCATGTGTTCCAAGTCTCTCCAAACAGAATATAAGGGTTTGTTTCTTTTCCAACTTAAACAATGTTTCCTACAGCATGAAGTGAAGGGTTGCGTGCCATGCATTCAGGTTCTTTTGTAGCTTTTGTTGACAGTGCATGTCTTTGAAAGCATGTGTAATCAAGATTACCACAGAAGTCACGTTTGGAGAACAGCATTGGAGATGTACAGCATTGGATATTGCATTTCTAGTGTTGATACCTGGGTGTTGCTTCTAACCCTCAGCCCTGCCCGCTCCTCCCTGTCCCAGGTTTCTTGTCAAAGTAGTAAGTACATACCTTTTTTTGTGATAAAACTCTTTAAAAGTTTATTTTTATGTGTTAATAGTATTCCTAATTTGTGCTGCAAAAATGGCTATGAGCCTTTTCATAAGTTACATTTTCCTTAACTTAAACATAGTTTTAGGAAGAAGTATGATTGGCTTCCATCTTGCACACAATCTTTTTTACTTCATTATCTAAATCTGCTTGGTCATTCAAACCGGAAACCGTACTTGAGTTGTAAACTAGACAGTGAGAAAACACTTGGCTTCTGCTGTATGTTGTTGTTGTTGTTACCCAGTAACTTGAATATTGTTTAATGTGCTGTAAGACATTGTAGAGATTATCTCCAGCTGTTAAAAATGGTAATGTACAAATGTGAATAGACACTTATCTATAACATGGGTAAGTTTTGTTTCGCCTATAATAGATGTTTATAAAAAACCAGTGAGGGGACAATTGGTCTTTGTTTTTCCTCCCAGCTTCCCCTCCCCCCATTTTTTCTACCCTTTTTTTTGCTTGCACAGGTTGCACTATTGAAAAATTGAGATTGTATAAATCTGGTTAAAAGCTACAAGATATCAAAATCTTGTGGATGTTGAATAAAAAAGTTATTGTACTAATGAAGTGGACTCTTGTTTAGGCCCTCACTGGGAACTCCAGGCGTAGGTAGCAGGGCTCTATAGAACTCGGCGTGGCCTTAGCCTTCCAGGTAGCCTTAGAGTCTGACTGAAGCCCCTTCCTGAAATCTGAGGTGATCTTAAGGACGGGGTAAATGATGGTACTTTTGAATGTGTCTCAAGTTGAACTGTTCTCTTTGTAACTTTGTAAACTTCTCAAAGAACTGGGTGAGGTGTGTGTAGTCACAGAAACCTGATGGAGCGCTTGGGGCTCTCGTTCTCTCGAGTTTCTTCGGTTAAGTTTACCGTAATATTGTTTGAGATTTATTTATTCTTAGTGCCTCAAAGAACAAATGGAGAATGGTTTCTGTTCTTGGGCACATTTTGCCCAGTGGATGCAACTTTGATCCTCATTCCATATATCTCAGGCAGTGATCTCATGAGCATCAGGCAGTATCCCTTTGTGGCCTAGATCCAACTGGCCACCGAGAGGAGAATTGTGTCCCCTCACAGAACCTCTGAGCTTTTGTTTTTGAGCTGGTGGACCATTCAGCTTCTTTTGGCATGTTAAGGCAAAAGCCTAAGGGAGGGGCTTCGTAACTTAACTGTTTCTCCATGAGACCCAATTGCAGAGGATGGGAAAGATGCTGTGTTCCAGGCTGCTGATGCCAGCCCCTCGCATGTGCAAATGTCTGTTTGGGTGGGTCCTGTCTTTTCTAGTGCTTTCAAAGCAGCACCTACAGGACTTCCCTAGCATGTGGTTAGTGAACACCTTACCCAGTGATGATGCTGTGATGTGTGCTCTTGGAGCACCAAGTCTTGGTGTAAGGGTCTGTTTGTGTTCTCTTCATTTTTGTTTAGTAAGAAAAAAACCCACAAATACTAGGCATCTGAAGGCTCTTTCAGTCTGTCACTCACCAGGAAAGCTCCAGCATTCAAGGGTTTCTTGTGTCAAAATCCAAGTCTTCTCAGCTGCTGTCACATAGAGTAGGTCCAGTCTCCCAGAGGATCTGAATGCCACGTCTGCATCCGGGGGCCTCACTTAACTCCCCCCACCGTAACTCACTGGACTCTGGGATGCCTTTTCTCCCACTTAAGCAATACAGATCTGAGCAGCAGATTCGATTGTTGGTCCCATCAGTGTTTTCAGAGTTTACAGTCCCGATTGTGCTGGAAATCACTCCCAGGTTCTATGCTGCTCAGGTGTGCTTGCTAGGGAGGTCACGTGTCCCTCCTAGCAACCTCTGTGCCACGGGCTTGCCCTCTTCACGGTCAGGTGAGAGCGCTGCTGTCCGTGGTGCAGTCAGAAGTGTTCCAAGTGTTGACTGTGTAAACCCAGGTTACCAGAAAACCGGGCAGGCTGAGCACGCGGTTCCTCTCTTCGCTACTCAGCTGCAGATCTGCGTGCAGGGTTTGCTTTTCCTGTGTGTAGATTAGCAAGAACTTGTATCCCAAGCACTGTAGTAGCTGTAGGTGTGTACATATGTGTATTTATTCTTACTCAGCACTTAAACCTTTTGAGTTGCAACAGTAAACCTTGTAATTTGCTCTGTCTATGGAGAGAAAAGTTCTAGATTTCCAAACTCCAGAGGAATTAAAACATTTTAGAGCCATGGTTTTGGTTGTAGCCTCTGGGACAATTCCTTGCTGATCTCCATGCCATATTATCAGAACAACTTCTGAGAGACCATAGAAGGAACGAGGGCACACCACGTACGGTTCTCGTCCTGTCCTCGACTTCCCATATTGGCACAGGGGCCTCTGTGGCTCCCTTTTGAAAACAGGTGGGAACATTCTCATCCTGTGAGACCTTATCCAAGGACCCTGGTACAGAGGGACCTTTATGGGCTCTGGCACTTCCTAGGAATGGTGTCCCAGAAAAGCTGCTCTTGGGCCAGGAGCCACACAGTGAATATGTAGTTAGTTGAGGCATACCATGGCAAAAGAAACTGCTATGATGGTGTGTTTGTTAAATGTCCTTCCTATGTGTGTGGACTCTGAACAACACACACACACACACACACACACACACACACACACACACACACACATACCACATAGGTGCTTTGGCATGCTGTACTGAAATGAACCAAGCATTCCATGTCATGGTTGCAGCTAATTGGGTGGAAAACATTTGCAGGAAAATCTCTCACAAGGCTAGCCGCCGGCTAAAGCAAATGGGTCCCTCCGTAAATGAAAGAAACATGGAGCTGCAACTTGAACTAGGCGGCAGTGTTTCCGAGTGCCCACCCTCTGTTGTATGCTGTACTTAGAGATGTACATAGGAGTGTATAGAGAAGCGTGAGTTCTTGTACATTTCAAGTGTAAATTTTGTAACTTGGGCCCCGTTCACTTGTACCTGCGCCCCTTTCCTTTCCCTCCTATTTATTCTTTTCTGGCCTCCCGTATGGGGTATCTTAGTGCTTTGTTGTTGTTTTTTTAACATAGGAAACTATAGAAAGCTTCTTAGCTGAATCAGTAGTTGTTGTGTTTAGAGTTTATCTTTGCCTCCTGGCTGTAGGAATCCTGTTGCCCACATTGCCCGCACACCTGGCTGTGCTGTCTTGGGATGCACCTGAGTGCCGCTCCTGATCCCGTCCCCGTGTGACTGGTTCTTCTCTGGACGCTGTGGTGCGCCTGATGCTTTCCTAGTTAAGAAATGAAAGAGAGCAAAGCAAAGCACATGCTTCTCTAGACCTCCCTGCAGCTCCTTGGACATGTTGAGTGCGGCTGCAGCCGGCTGCAGCTCCTTAGAAGCCTGACTAGCTTTTGTCTCGTTAGAGGCTTGCTCTGGTCCCTCAGCCCCTGCCGCCTGCCTCACGGGAAGACCTTGCAGGTAGATAGTCCAGTGGCTCGTGGCCTGGATGCAGGCTTCCTGTGTGTAAGAAGTTGGATTTCTATGACCCCCACAGGTGATGAGCGGATTACTTTATGACAAACACCAGTAATCTGATTTTTATATAACTGGTAAAAATCCAGCAGGCAGGAGATGAGCGTAGAGAACAGTCGTCATCCGTTCTCCAGCAGTCCTGCAGTGGAAGCTGCCACCACCTTCAGCACCCAAGGCAGGGTCAGTGTGAGCGGCTCACTCCTATCCCGGCAGGAAAGGCTCTAAGCAGAGATGCCGAGCTCTGGAGGATTGGTGTTGGTGCTGAAGGCCCGCTGGGGCCTTGGAGATGGTGCCAACCCTCACCTAGAGCACAGGAGTGGAGTTTTATTTACAGGCCTTTGCACCCTCAAAATATGTCCTTTGCAATTCTCAGGAAAGATTTCAGTGAACATTCAGATTGGTAGACTTGATGACAACTTTGAAAATTGCCTACATTTGGCTGAGTCTTTGGAACTTAGTTGTTGTGATTGAAGGTCTGTCACAGATTACTCCAGCAGGAATTCCTTCCTCACCCCATCTCCCTTCCTTTGGTGCCTGAGACATAGTTGACTTGTGTCCTACGGCAGCAGCCCACCATCTGCAGGGATAGAGCAGGGCACGGTTAGGCCAGGAGTTCTGTAACCAACAGTTAACTGTGAGATACACCAGTTAGTGCGGAGAGAGGAGATGGCTGCTTTTGTTGTCTGTTCACCTTGAGGCTGAGAGGTGGCATGTGAGTCTCTTGAGGAGAGTTCATGTGGCCTTGTGAGCCTGTGCAGATAGAGCCGGAGGACCTTGCTACCACGGCAGTGGCTGTGGCAATGAAGAGGGTGAAGGAACTCGATCGAGCTGCTCCTCTGGCTCTACTTCATGTGACTGAGAGAGCTTTTTTATTTATTTTTGACATAGCACAGTGCAGCCTCACCACTAAAACAATTCACCTTGTTCATAGTTTGTACTGAATTTGCAAACTCCTATGACTGCTTTTCAATAACCACTTTTATCATCAACCGTGAGGGGTGGGAGAGGTGTACTGTGTCTCTGCAATAAACTTGTGCCAGGTTCTACCTCCTTGCGCAAAGGATATTTTATATGTAGGCGCTGGTCTTCCTCATCTGACTCGGGGCGTCCGGGAACATCTGAAGGAGTCCAAAGACCCGAAACAGTCAGTCGGGTGTGAACTCTCGGGCGGCTTCTGTTTCCTCAGTTCTCTGTATTGCTGCTCTGCACAGAGTGTCCATCTGAACGAAGGCTACAAGCTGTCCACGATGCCACTTTGCTGCCTTCAGCCTCTCCTGGGAACCTGCTCCCGAGTGTCCAGACTGAGTGCTGCCATCCTGTTGATCTGTAACTTTCAATCCAGTCTCGTGTAATACAAGTGTGTTGGCTTCGCTGAGTGGGGTTCGTTGACCCTCAACCAGAAACACTCAGTCTCCACACTGAAAGTACTCTGTATTTAGGTTTTGGTTGTGGTTTGTTTTTTCATTTTTGTTTGAATTTTGTTTTCTGTTTTTGTAAAATTCTTAAATAAAATGAAACTATTAAATATGCTTTTCATTCTGGTGTGGTATGGTTTTGGAGTATCTGCTGCCCTGTGTCATTAGTCTCACTCACCTCAGAGGCTCTTGGCAAGGGTTGAAGTTTCTATGTTGGTCTGGGTAGGCACAGCCTGGTAGTAGAATACTTGCCTGGCATGTGCAAGGAAGGCCCTAGGCCCCCATTACCTTAGAGGCTGAATCATGGAAGGCACTAACTATAAGGTAGCTGTGGGTTTCTCCAAGGTTGTCTCTTGACCTCTGCACATGTGGTAGTCCAGACACAGACACACAAAAATAGCAAAATAGATGTTAAAAGAAAAATAGTCGACTTGCCTGTCTGTGTGCCAGCATTGGTTGATTCTGAAGGCCTGGGCTGTGTCTTGACATTGACTGCAAAGGCACAAGGCAGACAGCAGCCACAGGAGGGCGGGGCTTCTTGCCTTCACTATCAGAAGGCACCCTGGAGCAGAGCCCTTCCTTCGTGTCTAAACAAGGAATATGAACAGTGAAATGCCATGAATATGGAGCTGGTGATAGCCAATGGCTCAGTGCTGCTTATGTTGATGACTTGGTCAAAACTGTAGATTTCACGTGAACTTTCTCTCTTCATAAGAGATGAAAGTCTCTTCAGTATCTAATTTTTTTTTTTTTTTTTTTTTTGGTTTTTTCGAGACAGGGTTTCTCTGTGTAGCTTTGCGCCTTTCCTGGATCTTTCGCTGTAGACCAGGCTGGCCTCGAACTCACAGAGATCCGCCTGCCTCTGCCTCCCAAGTGCTGGGATTAAAGGCATGCGCCACCACCGCCCGGCTTCAGTATCTAATTTTTATGGCATTGTTGCCCTTAATATGTAATTAGAAACATAACATTCTTTAACGGAGAAAATGTTTAATAAACAATTGAGGTGTTCTAGTTTTGGGGCTCTGTGGCTATTCACAGTTTGAAATTGTTCCTGGGTAGTTATTCTCCCAGTAGGGGCAGTTTGCAAGTAAGACCTTGTAGGAAATAAGAAACCTCCCAGGAATACCCACCAAGGGGCCTTGAACGGGCTGACTCACCAGTGAGCTACCATGAGAGAGCTGAGTGGGAAGCTAGTGCAGAGGACAGAAGGGACTGGGGACAGCACACGAGTGTGCATTGGCCCAGGGAATGCCAAAGAAGAGACCACAGGAATGCGTGTCTGGGTCCACATGGCCAGTGGGTCACTTGTGCTCTGTGTGTGTGTGTGTGTGTGTGTGTGTGTGTGTGTGTGTGTGTGTGTATCTGTATGTTACCCTCGCGCTTGCAGATGAGGCAGGCGCAGGGTGAGAGACCTACAAGGTTGGTTCAGTGCCTGCTTCAGTCAAATGCTCGGCTGCCAGGACTGACAGGAAGGGAGAAGAAACTTGGAGCCAAGGGTAGATTTTTTTTTTTTTTTTTTTTTTTTTTTTTTTTTTTTTTTTTTTGGTTTTTTCGAGACAGGGTTTCTCTGTGTAGCTTTGCGCCTTTCCTGGATCTTTCGCTGTAGACCAGGCTGGCCTCGAACTCACAGAGATCCGCCTGCCTCTGCCTCCCGAGTGCTGGGATTAAAGGCGTGCGCCACCACCCACCCGGCGATTTTTTTTTTTTTTTTTAAGATTTATTCTGGGGGCCTAGAGAGATGGCTCACAGGTTAAGAGCACTGGCTGTTCTTCAGAGGACTCGGGTTCAGTTTCCAGCATCCACATGGCAGCTTGGAACTGTCAGTAACTCCACTTCCAGGGGATCTGACACCCTCACATGGACATACATGCAAGCAAAAACCAATGCACATAAAGATAAATCTTTTAAAAAAAAAGATTTACTTATGTGTGTATGTGTATGAGAGAGAAAGTGTGTGTGCACATGCGTGTATAAGTGCCCATAGGCCAGAAGAGGGTGTGAGATCCCAAGGGGCTGGAGTTAACAGGCTCTGTAAAGTTGGTGCCAGTCCTCTGGAAGAGCAAGAAGCACTCTTCTTTCTCTCTCCCTCCCTTCCTCCTTCCCTCCCTCCCCTCCTTCCCTTCCCTTCTCTTCTCTTCTCTCTCTCTCTTTTTTTTGGTTTTTTGAGACAGGGTTTCTTTGTGTAGCTTTGCGCCTTTCCTGGAACTCGCTTTGGAGACCAAGCTGGCCTCGAACTCACAGAGATCCACCTGGCTCTGCCTCCCGAGTGCTGGGATTAAAGGCGTGCGCCACCACCGCCCGGCCTCTTCTCTTTTCTTTTGCTTTTCGAGACAGGGTTTCCCTGTGTACTTTTGGTGCCTGTCCTGGATCTCGTTCTGTAGACCAGGCTGGCCTCGAACTCACAGAGATCCACCTGCCTCTGCCTCCCGAGTGCTGGGATTAAAGTTGTGAGCCACCACTGCCCAACGTAAAATAAATCTTTGAAAAAATTTTAGGAAAAATTAAAATAGGCTGGTGAGATGGTTCAGCAAAAGTGGCTGCCAAGCAACCTTGACGACCTGAGTTCAATTCCTGAACCTGTGTAAAGGTAGAGCCTCCTCCATTCACATGTGACATGGTATTTATTGCACATCCATCATACAATTAAGAAATTTTTTTTAATGTAGGCAATAAATTTGATGCCTTAATTCATGCCAAGAAAGGTAGGAGGAATAATTGTCCCAGGATTCTCGCCTCCCAGCCCAGTCGCTCAAAGAGCTGCTTGCTCTGCTTTGCTTTAGGAAAGCAAACTGTTCCCCTCTCTCTCTTTTATAAGCATGTTTCCTCGGTACTTCGAGCTTCACTGTTTGCAAAAGCTCCCCTCCCCACCATTTGCTAAATGGCATGGCTTTCTCTGTACTGCCTCCCCATCGCTGTGCCCTTCCAAGCAGCTGCAGATTGACAGCTTCCTTACTGGGGGGCGGTTCCTTCGAATGCTAATAAAATTGACCTTGAGCTTCCTTGTGAAGAAAAAAAGTAGCAATTGCATACGTGTGGTTTCCAGCATTTGGGAGGCCAAAGAAGGGGGACCTCCAGTTGGAATTTAGCCTGGGCTGCCCAGCGAATTCAGAGCTAGCCCAGACTACATAAAAAGCCCTGTCTTTTTTTAAAAAAATGCTGAGTATCTCACTCAGTGGCTGAGTTCTTGTTTAGCATATTTGAAGCCTGGGTTCGACCCCTAATACCACAAAACAGCTATGTAATGGTAGTTAGTTGAACTTTTATTAAGATAACTAGGCCAGTCATTCATTTTTGTGTTTTCTCCAGCTTGTTTACTTTGATCTTGCTCCTTTTAGCATTTTTTTGTGTTCCCCACATCCTCTTTCAGCTTTACTCTGTCTGCCCTGACCTGGGTACTGTTACTGACTGGTCCTTCTTGGTGATGGTGGCCAACCTGGGGATTGTGGGATGTTCAGCAGCATGCCTGGCCTGCCCTGGCCATATCCCAGGAGTGACACACTTCTTCAGCCCCAGTTGTGAAAGCCCAGAATATCTATAGACATTGCCAGATGTCCTCTGATGGACAAGATGACCCTTGCTTGTGAACGACTGCCCTGGAAAATTAGCCATGAAGAAGCAAGAACGTGTGTGTATGTGCAAGCACTTGTGGGTGTGCATTCATGGAGGACAAGCCTGAACAAAGGGCACCACCCCGAGAGACAAAATAAAACAAATGTTACTCTGCTGAAGGTTGGAATATGTACAATACAATTTCCATAAGTATGAATATTTATCAGCTAGTCATTTGAGAGCATGATGTAAAGAAGCCATCTGTGGAGGCCTTTATGGAGAGAGGAGCTAAAAGAAATGTGCAAAATACTTATTTTTAGAGTCCACTTCTCTGAAAGCTGCCCACTCTGAGTGGTGAGTGCTCTCTGGGTTAGGGGAAGTGAGAGCCCACCCTGCTGGCCCCAGAAAGGCCACCAAGTTAGAAAGTAGTTTTAAATAGCACACCAAGGTAAGATGACGAGGTGAGTCTTCAGTTAGTCTTGAATGTTGAATTTATTTTTTGGTTGGGAGTGTGTGTGTACATTCCCATTTGGACACATGGTGGGGGGTGTTATGGGAGTCAGAAGTTAACAATGGGTGTTTTTCTCCATTACTCTCCACCTATGTATGGAGGCAGGGTTCCTCACCCAACCCAGCTGGCCCTGAGGTCCCCTCTACCCCCCATGTGCTAGGGCTACAGGTGAGTTGTCACCCACACAGCATTTTTTTTAAGACCCTGGGGATTCAAATACTGGCCCTCAACCTTGCACGCAAGCACCTTTTCCAGCTTGCTTTTCTCATGGAGTTGTCCTCCAACCCCTCCTCAGGGTAGACAAGGAGGTGAGAACACACAGTGGCTTCTCTTCAGACTCCTGCCGCCAGACTCTTGTCCCCTGACCATACTGACATTCCACTTTCTGCAGTAGCTTCTGGGGGAACTTTGGAGAGTAGACTTGGATGTGACACAGAAATGCTCTATCCGATCCCTGGTCACCTTTGGTTCCAGGTAAGGTTGGGTTTCACAGAAATTGATGTAAGTCGTATGTCACCAGAGGACCCATGATTAGATAATTAGTTGTAGGAAGTCAGGAAATCCCAATGTGAACCTGGAGTCACAAATTACTGCTAGGGGTGGAGAGATAATCCAGCTAGGAGTACTGGCTGCTCCTCCAGAGGACCCAAGTTGGGTTCCCAGCACCCGCATCTGGTTCCTCACAACTGCCTTTAACTCCAGATTCAGGATATCCAATGCCTCTGGACTCTGAGTACCTGTACTGTGTATGGTGTACACCCAGACACACACCATATACTTAATTAAAAATAAGTTTAAGAAAAAAGGAGAGGGAGAGGAGGTCAGTCTGCAGTCACCTTTGAGCATGTGCCATGCCCAGTGATCTAGAGACCTTGAAGCATGCCCTACCTCTGACAGATGGCACTTTTGGTCATTTCTTCCCCCCATGAGTCCTCTTTCCTATTCCCTGTGCTAGGTTGGCACCATGGATTGTTCCGAGGGTTGCCTTATGCTGGAAATGGTTCCAAGTGTTAGGAAGGCCTTTTTGGGCTGTTCTTTATGTACATATGTGGGTGTCTATGTGCATACAAGTGCAGTGCCCACTGAGGTCAGAGAGGGCATCCAGTCCCCTGGAGCTGGAACTACAGATTGCAAGCTTTGTGAGCTGGGTGATGGGAACTAAACCCAGGTCCTCTGGGAGAGCAGAAGGTATGTTGGGTCACTGAGCCATCTCTAGCTTCAAGGCTGAAGTTTTCATTGAGGAAAAAAAAATAAAACAAATATGTCTGGTTTGGATGCAGTGAGTCTAGAGAATCCTTAGAAATCCATCTTGTAGGGGGAAGCTCATGAGCCTCAACCTATATGAAGAACTGCAGGCAACTAAGGAACACCGAGTGGGAAATAGTCTTCCCCAGGGAAGAGCGTGCCAATTCATTGTGGTATAGATGCATCCCTAGGTGCTGGGAAAGGTAAGGTGTGCCCCAGAGTCACAGCAGCCACAGGAGCACCTCTGTAAGAGCCATTCTGTTCCTCTAGCCTCCACGCTTTTAAGAAAGAACGAACTCCGTCCTGTAAGGGCAGTAAGGGCTCATTGGGTGCAGAGGCTTGCCACCAAACCCAAGGATCTGAGTTCACTTCTGGAAATGGACTCCTGGAAGTTGTCCTGTGACCTCTACACATCTACACAATAAATAAATGGGAAGCAAATGTTTGGGTTGAGTGCCATACACCTCCTAGCTGGGTTGAGAGCCAGCCTGGTCTGTATAGTGAGTTCCAGGTCAGCTAGGACTACATAGTAACTCTGCTTAACTTAAAAAGGAAGGACAGGCTGGGCGGTGGTGGTGCACACCTTTAATCCCAGCACTCGGGAGGCAGAGCCAGGGGGATCTCTGTGAGTTCGAGGCCAGCCTGGGCTACAGAGTGAGTTCCAGGACAGGCTCCAAAGCTACACAGAGAAACCTAGTCTCAAACCCCCCCCCAAAAAAAAAAGGACAGACCACCTTCCACTTGCCGGAGGACAGCAGGATGGCATAGCAAGCCCAGAAGAGCTACCTGAGCCCTCGAGAGGGTTCCGACAGATCCAGAGACTTCTCTCCTGGTGTCCACTTCCTCTCTCATTGCGCTCTGCTCTCTCCTCTAGCCTTCTCTATCCAACCCCAAAAGTCTCACTGACATGCCCATTACACTCATAGGGAGACATTCTAGACATTTACACTCACTTGTGAAAAGGTGTCTACTGGGGCCAGGTGTCTTGGTGCATGCCTGTATCCTGGCACTCGGGACTGAGGGACAAACACGTCAAGCTTGGCTTGGCCTATAAAGAGAGACATACATTCACAAGTGCCTAAATAATAAGACTGGAGTGAATTTCATATAGTCATTTAATTATATATATGCATATATAAAATCATTAATTATATATGCATATATATATATATATATATATATATATATATATATATGTTTCTGTACTCTCCTTTAAGACAGGGTCACACTAGTTAAGTACATACTGTATAACTGGCCTCGAGCTCATCATGTAGACCTGGTTGGATCCCATAGAGATCTGCCCGTTTCTGCCTCCTGAGTGCTGGGGTTAAAGGGGCATGCTGCCACCGCTAGGAGTCAGAATTTCCTGTTTGGTGCTATAGAAGGAACCCAAGGCCTTAGCACATGATGAGTCTCTGGTCTCTGCCACTGTGACCTTATTTGAAGAAACAGCTGTAACTAAAGATCTGAATATGGCATCCTCCTGGATTAGGATGGGCCCCAAGTTCAACGGCAAGTGTTCCTACAAGAAGAGAGAGGAAGGCTAGAGTTGTGATCAGAATGGCGCGTCCACAGGCCAAGAACATCTTGGAGCAACCGGAAGTTGAAGGAGGCAGAGGTTCTCCTTAAAAGCTTCAATAAAAGGCCTGGTCTGCCAACCCCTAGATTAGAGTTCCGGCTTCCACAGGTGAGAGAAAATACTACTTACCGAGGCAGTGGTAATGTTAGGACAGCCCTAATGAAGCAGAACACCTGCCGTGGAAAGCCCTCGTAATAAAGAAGGAAGAGAGGGGCTGGAGAGACCGCTCAGCAGTTAAGGACAGGTTCTGCTTTTCCAGAGGACCCGAGTTCAATTCCCACCCACATTAGGTGGCACACAACCACCTGTGACTCCAGTGCCTGGGATCAGACGCCTCTGGCCTCTGAAGGCATCTGCACTAATTTCATGCACAGGCCCACATGCAGATAGACAAGCACAAGTCATTTTAAAAATTAAAAAAAAAAAAAGTGGAGGAAACTGGTGTCCCCCACAGAGGTATTCTGGTCGTACTTGTTCTTGACCTGGGAGCACATGGAGGCTGTTTATGGGATATTGTGGGTCTGATGAGTCCAGCATGTATGAATATCCCACAGAGAAGCCTACTTTATAAGCTAATGGTAATATTTGCCAAAAGAACTAAGGATCTACAAAATGGCTTAGCTGGTAAAGGCACCTGCCATGCAGGCTGACAACTCGAGTCCTGTTCCCAGAGCCCGGATAAAAATCTGTGGTGGCTCCAGTTTGTGATCCTAGTCTTCTTGGACTGGGAGGCACAGATGGGAGAATTGACCTGAAGCTCCTTGTGCCAGCTCACCTGGAGCGTTCAACAGGGCAGAGAGAGCAAGAGAGACCATTGCCGAGGTAGGAGGAGGACCAGTAAGATGAGGTAGTGCAGTAGTATGAGTGCATTTGGAGCCAGACTTTAGGACCTGAATTCAATCCCTGGGACCCACGTGGGAGAAGAGAGCCAACTCCCACAAGATGCCCTCTGTTGCAGAATCTGTCCACTGTGTGAAGATGTGTTGCTGTGACTGGTGTAATAAAGAGCCGAACAGCCAATAGCTAGGCAGGAGAGAATAGGCGGGATTTCCGGGGAGATGCTGGGGAGACACTGAAGAGGTCAGACATACAGTACAGAGTAGAGGTAACCGAGCAATGTGGCAGAATGTAGATTAATAAAGCGGGTTAATCTGGGTTATAAGAGCTAGCAAGACGAGCCTAGACTAATGGCCAAACGTTCATAATTAATAAGAAGTCTCCGTGTCATTATTGGCGAGCTGCCCGTCCCACAAAATAAAGTCCGACTACATTTGAGAAGGTTGGTACAGTCCTGACCTCCACATGAGTGCTGTGGCACCCATGCACACTCCCCTCAAAAAATAAAAATAAAATCCATGGAGGGGCTGCGAAAATAGCTCATGGTTAAGATCACTTGCTGCTCTTCCAGAGCTTCTGAGGTTTGTTTCTAGCGCCCAAGGGGCTCCCAAGTTCCAGGTGAGCTGATGCCCTCTTCTGGCCTCTAGGGGTACCTGCATCTGTGTGTACATACTCCCCTGTGCCCACACAAATACACATAATTAAAAATACTTCTTCGAAATAGATGGAAGAATCCACACATATGCTGTGGCGTGGTACATGGATGCACATTCTCACATTAAAGAAAAAGGAGTAAAAAAAACCTACTCTTCTGGTTATTTTTTATTCCAGAAAGGGTTTCTCTGTGTAGCACTGGCTGTCCTGGAACTCACTCTGTAGACCATGCCGGCCTCAGACTCAGAGATCCACTTGCCTCTGCCTCCTGAGTGCCGGGATTAAAGGTGTGTGCCACCACTGCCTGGCATAGGGTATGATCTTATACATAGAATACTCCAAGGATTCTAACCACATGCTATTAGAGCTAATGAGCAAGTTTGGGAAAGTTGAAGCAGGTAAGATCCACACATGAAAACTGGTTGTATCTCTATGCACCAATGCGGGAGAGGCAAGAAGGCTCACAAGGATGGAGCAGGTGCAGGTTCTACATGAAGACTAGGCTAGTATATTGTAACTAAAGTTCAACTAATTACCCTTATATATCTTTTGGGCTCAGTACCTGGAACCCACGTAAAGGTAGAGAAAGCCGATTCTAGGAAGTCATCCTCTGCTCCCCACACCTGTGCTGTGGTTTACTGGTTGCTAGTACACACAATAATAAATTCTTTAGAAATTCAAACCTAAAGTAAGACAATTGCAGGGGATAGAGGACCAGCTCAGTGGTTAAGACCACTGACTGCTCTTGCAGAGGACCAGGGTTCAGATGCCAACACCCATATTAGGTGGCTCACAACTACCTGTAAGTCCAGCTCCAGGGGATCTGACACTCTCCCAGCTTCCTCAGGCCCTGGCTCTCATGTGCCAGTACCCACTCACAGACATGCTCATAATTAAAAAATAAAAAAATTTCTTTTGCCGGGCGGTGGTGGCGCACGCCTTCAATCCCAGCACTTGGGAGGCAGAGGCAGGAGGATCTCTCTGTGAGTTCGAGGCCAGCCTGGGCTACAGAGTGAGGTCCAGGACAGGCACCAAAACTATGCAGAGAAACCCTATCTTAAAAAACCAAAAAAAAAAAAAAAATTTTTTTTCTTTCTTTAAAAAAAAAGAGGGGAGAGGGAGCTAGAGAGATGGCTCAGAGGTTAAGAGCACTGACTGCTCTTCCAGAGGTCCTGAGTTCAATTCCCAGCACCCACATGGTGGCTCACAATCATCTGTAAAAAAAAAGTCCGAAAACATAAAAGACAAAGTGAGGTCTTTCATACCGTTTTTTTTTTTTTTTTTTTTTAATTGCCGGGCGGTGGTGTATACATTTTTTAATACCAGCACTGGGGAGGCAGAGGCAGGATCTCTGTGAGTTTGAGGGCCCCTTGGTCTATGAGCGAGTTCTAGGACAGTCAGGACTACACAGAGAAACCTTGCCTTGGGGAAAAAAAGAAAGAAAGAAAGAAAGGAAGGAAGGAAGGAAGGAAGGAAGGAAGGAAGGAAGGAAGGAAGGAAGGAAGGAAGGAAGAAAGGAAGGAAGAAAGAAAGAAAGAAAAAGGGTGAAGAGGCACCTCAATAACCAAGTGCAAGTGCATCTAGTGCTGTAGCTGAAGACGGGAGTTTCCCAGCACCCACACCAGCAGCTCACAAATGCCTTTAACTCCAGCACTAAGGGATTCAATGCCTCCTTCTGGCCCCTGTGAGCACCTGCACACATGTGCACACACACAAATCCCTTTTTAAAATTTAGTTTTTATATACAGGTGTTTGCGTGTATATAAATTTACCACCTATGTGCAGCATCAGTAGAGGCCAGAAGAGGGCATCAGATTCCCTGAAACTGGAGTTACAGATGGTTGTGAGTCGCCGCCATGTGGGTCCTGGGAATCACACCTCGTTCTTTAGAAAAGCAGCCAGTGCTCTTAACCACTAAGCCATCTCCAGCCCCAAAATCAATCTTAAAAAGAAAAGATGATCCCACTTACAGTATCAGAAAGGAAATACTAAATGGGTGTGGTTCTGGGTGTCCAGCCCACTGGCCAGAAGAGGCTTGGTTGAGGTCAGGGATTTGAGGATGCCCTGAAAACCACAGTGAGACACTGTCTCAGAAACAACAAAACAAAACAAGACCCCCCCAAACCAGAACAATAGTGACTGGAGAGCTGGTCAGTGGTTAAAAGCAACATCTGCTCATGCAGAGGACTGGAGTTTGGTTCACAGCACCCATGTTAGGTAGCTCACAACTGCCTGTAACTCCGACTCCAAGGGGGTCCAACCCTTCTGTCTTCCATGACACCTGCTCTTATGCACACACGTCCGCATAGACACACAACACACAAACATCCGCAGAAAGAGATAAATATTTAAAAACACTTAAACCTGTAGAAATAAAAACAAAACTCACTGAGATGGAAGGAATTAAGTTTGAAATAAGTGGAAAGATATCTTTGCCAGATGTGACTCATATCTGTCACAGCACTTGGGAGGCTGAGGCAGGAGGATTGTGAGGTTGAAACCATCCTTGGATATATAGAGAATTCCAAATTGGCTTGTACTAAAATGAAAATTATGCCTCAAGATAAAATGAAATAGCTGAGCTAAGTGCTGCAGTCTCAGGAAGACTGACATAAGTTCTAGGCCAGCCAGGACCATGTAATGAGACCCTGCCTCAAAAAAAAAAAAAAAAAGAAGAAGAAGAAGAAGCTGGGCAGTGGTGGCCACGCCTTTAATCCTAGCACTAGGGAGGCAGAGGCAGGTGGATGTCTGTGAGTTCGAGGCCAGCCTGGTCTACAAAGAGAGTTTTAGGACAGCCAGGGCTACATAGTGAGACCCCGTCTCACAACAAGAAACAAATGGGGCTGGAGAGATGGCTCAGTGGTTAAGAGCACTGCCTGTTTTTCCAGAAGACCTGGGTTCGATTCCCAGCACTCACATGGCTGTCTGTAACTCCAGTTCCAGGGCATCCGACACCCTCACACAGACATACATACAGGCAAAACACCAATGCACATAAAATTAAAAACCAGCCGGGCGGTGGTGGCGCACGCCTGTAATCCCAGCACTCGGGAGGCAGAGCCAGGCAGATCTCTGTGAGTTTGAGGCCAGCCTGGGCTACAGAGTGAGTTCCAGGACAGGCTCCAAAGCTACAGAGAAACCCTGTCTCGAAAAACCAAAAAATAAAATAAAATAAAATAAAAATAAAAACCAAACCCCCAAATGTGTATTTCCGTGATGAGTATATGCCTGAGCATCTATGTGTGCCGCACTGAGTGCTTGCAAGTGCCTTTGGAGGCTAGAAGAGGGTGTTAGAACTACTGGATCTCACACAAGAGCTGTGAGTTAGGTGATGCAGGTTCTGGGAACTAACCTCAGGTCCTCTGGAAGAGCAGAGTGCCCTCAGTCCATAAGCCATTTCTCCAGTCCCATAAGCACACTTGTTGATTCCAATACAGTTACAGAAATTGGAAGAGTGTGATGCTGGCAGACAGATAAACGCATAGAACAATGAATCAGATAGAATTTAGAGTCCAAAACCTAAACCTCGTGTGGGGAAAAGAATATTCTTTTTGACAAATGCTACTGGGGCAGTAATCTGAGGAGGCAAATAAATTCAAACTCGCCTTATGCCATACATAAAAAATAGTTAAACACAGATATATAGATGAGTTACAGAAATGTAAGATTACAACATTTGAGGACTTTAGAGAAAACACAGGGTGGAATTCTTTGAGATCTTGACTAGACATTCCAGAAGTACAAGTCATTAAAGGAAAAATAATTGAACTTCATAAAAATTTAAAACCTGGTAAGGGCTGAAGAGATGGCTCAGTGGATAGGAGCACTGGCTGCTCTTGCAAAGGACCTGGATTTGATTTTCAACAGCACATGGTGCCTCAGAACTTTCTGTAACTCCAGTTCCTGGGGATCTGAAACTCTCTTTTAATCTCCCCTGGCACCAGAAAACACACATGCATAGACATACATGCAGGCAAAACACCAAGACACATGAAATACAATAAATAAGTTTTGTTTTTTAAAAAAAAGTTTTTAAGCTGGGTGGTGGTGGTGCACACCTTTAGTCCCAGCACTTGGGAGGCAGAGGCAGGTGGATCTCTGTGAGTTTGAGGCCAGCCTGGTCTACAGAGCTAGTTCCAAGAACCAGGGCTACACAGAGAAACCCTGTCTCAAAACAAAACAAAACAACAACAACAAGAAAAACACCAACAAAACAAAAAACAAACCTTAGCCGGGCAATGGTGGCACATGCCTTTAATCCCAGAACTTGGGAGGCAGAACCAGGAGGATCTCTGTGAGTTCGAGCCCAGCCTGGTCTACAGAACGAGATCCAGGACAGGCACCAAAACTACAGAGAGAAACTCTGTCTCAAAAAACAAAAGATTAACAAAAAACCCAACCTTAAGCAGTTTAGGAGAGGGTTCGGTAGGTACGACTTCACCGTGCAAACATAAAGACCTAAGTTTGGATCTCCACCAGGTAAAAGCTTCGTGTGTCCACATGTGCTTGGGTCTCCAGCACTGGGAACAGAAACAGGTGGGTCCCAGGGGCTGGATGGCTAGCCAGCCTGCTGTCAAAGTGAGCTCAATGAGAGAGCCAGAGGAAGGAGTGAGCCAGCCGGGGCCAGAGCAAGACTCCCCGCTGCCCTCTGCTGGTCTCTAATGTACATGCACAGGCATGCGCATTCTTGCATACCTGTATACCCACACACACTCAGGAAAAAGCTCGGGGCCTAAAGATGTGGCTCAGGAAAGCGCTTGTCTAACATGGATGATTCTCTGGGTTCCATCCCCAGGGCCATGTGGTGGTGCACATCTGTAATCCCGACACTCAGGAGATGTCTATACGAGGGTCCTAAAGTTCAGGGTCATTTTCAGCTATACGATTGAGCTTGAGGACATCCTGGGATTCCTTACACTGTGTCTCAAAATCAAAAATAAACAAACAGGGGCTGGACAGGCAGCTCAAAGGTTAAGAGCACTGGCTGCTCTTCCAGAGGATCTGGGTTCAATTCTCAGCACCCACATGTACAGTTACAGTAGCTCACAACTGTAACTGCAGTTCCAGGGGATCCAACATGTAGGCAAGACACCAATGTACAAAGAATAAATAAAATTTAAAAATAAATAAAAACAAACAGCAAAACTTGAGGTTGGGGGAGGGGTGTAGTGCAGTACAGAAGCACATGCTAAGCATGTGTGAAGCTCTGGGTTCAATCCCCAACACCACCAAAGAAAAAAATGTTTTAAAAACTTCTTTTTGTCTGTTTGGATTAAAGAACACGAGACTATGAATCTGAGCTGAGTGGCTGAGGCAGGGGGATTGCTTCAAGTTCCAGGCAAATATGAGGGAAAACAACAAAGAAAGCCAGGCAAATGATATTTGGTACGCTGGTACATGCTGGCTGTTTCAACTGCTTGGGAGTTTGAAATTTAAGGCTAGGCAGGGCAACATAAAAAACAAAACAATAAAACACAGCAAACCAGACTAGGCACTGTGGCGCATGCCTTTAATCCCAGCACTCTGGAAGTAGAGGCAGGAGGATATTTGTGAGTTCCAGGCCAGCAGACTTTACATCGCAAACTAGCCAGGGATACACTGTGAGATCCTTCAAAAAAAAAAAAAAAAAAAAGAGTCAAGGATCTCACTGATGAATTTCTGTGAGTTCATTCATCATGAACTGAAATTGTCCTATTCTGGATCTGGTTCCATTTAAACACATTATTAGAATTAATTTCATGCCGTGTTCTGCTTCCAAAAATTGACTACGAAGACACTTCAAATTATATATGTGGCTTGACTTATATTTCCATCAGCCATTGTAGAATGGGTAGCATTCGTTTCTTTATAAAATGTCACCAAGAAGCGTCTGCCAGAGCAAGTGTAAGGATGATGGCAGGGGCTGGTGAAGCGGGGGTGAGGGGGAAGAGGCGGTCCCCTCCCCCGCTCCTTCAGTCCCAAAGGGAAGGGAGGGTAAGGTGGTGGTCCTTTTTTTTTTTTTTTTTCTCTAGCGGAGAAGCTGACGCCGTTGTCACCAGATTCACAGATCATGTCTAAATATGACTAATGAAAAAAAAAAAAAACCAACCCCAACCAACCTGCAAACCATGGCGATTAAAAACAACAAAAAAGGGTGGGTGTTTTATGTAATTTGATGAGCATTACTATTCAGGCAGAACTCCAAAATATAGTACCTTCGGAAGGTTATTCATCAGATCCCAAATACGTTGGGTGACGACGTTTCAGTCAGTTCCTAGGATGGGTGGAGGCGTGGATGGGGCGGGGTGGGGGTAAGGTGGGGGAGAGGGGGCCCTCCTCACAAAATGGAGTGTAAACTCCGGGGAGTCGAAACTTTGCCAAGTTCATTCTTGCATCCTTAGCATGTAGAACCGAGTCTAGCACACAGTAGGTGCCCCCTTAAAACATTCCCAAGAGTTTGTGCGCCAAATTGCTGTGGCGGATGCGAGGGCGAATTTGCTGGAGGAGGAGGAGGAGGAGGAGGAGGAGGAGGAGGAGGAGGAGGAGGAGGAGGAGGAGGCGTCTCTCCATCCAGCTTTTGTCAGTCTCAAAGGAATCTTGGGATCCCAAAGGGTTAAAAAAAAAAAAAAAAAAAAAAAAAAGCCCACTTAATCCAGGCAGAGACGTGACATTTTTTTTTCCGAAATAAATGTCAAGAATGGGTTATTCTAAGTCTGGGACAGAGCCAGACGTGGGCATCTGGAATGATCTACGTGCATTGAAAAAAAAAAAACAATAAATAAATAAAGCACACACGCAGAAAAAACAAACAAACAAACAAACAAAAAAACCCACCAAACCACCCCAAAACCAAACCAAACCAAACCAAACAAAAAAAAAAACCCCAATCGCCACCATTTTCTCCAGGTAATTTTCCACCCCTGCCCCCACAGTCAAGAGACACAGGGTGGTGAGGGGAGAAAAAAAAAAAACAACAAAAACCAAAAGTACTTCTTCTTCCATCCTGCCTGGCTGTGTAAGACAGAGGACGGAGCGGGCCAATGAGCGGCGCGCGGGAGGCGGGGGCGCGGCGGGGGCGCGGCGGGGACCGCAGCCCCCCAAACTTTGGCAAGTTGCGGGCGGCGGCGGCGGCGGCGGCGGCGGCGGCGCAGCAGCGGCGGCGGCGCGGGGCGCGGCCGCGGGAGGAGCCGCCCCTCGACGCCCGCCGGCCCCCCTCCCTCCCTCCCCTCCCCTCCCCTCGGTCCGTCCCTCCCTCCCTCTTTCCCTCCCTCCCTCCCTCCCTCCTTCCCGGGCCGGGCCGGGCCCAGCACCGCGCGGCTCGGCTCAAAGTTTGCGGCCGCCCCTGCGCCGCGCGCCCCGATGGATGGGTGATCGACCGCGGCGGCGGCAGGGTGACGGACGGCCATATTGGCCGGCGCGGCCCGAGCCGGCGACGACAAAAAGTGCGCGGGCGCCCGGTGGGCGCTCGGACGGGCGCGGGGACGTGGGGCCGTCCGGCCCGGGCCTCCTCGGCCTCGGCTTCGGCCTCCCGTGGCCGCCGCGGTAAAGCCGCCGCGCGCTCGCGGCCTGGCCCGGCTCGGCTCGGCCCGGCCCGGCCCGGCGCGCCCGCCGCCCGCGGGGATGTCGTACAAGCCGAACTTGACCGCGCACATGCCCGCCGCCGCCGCCGCCGCCGCCCTCAACGCCGGTGAGTGAGCGCGGGCCCGAGCGAGCGAGCGAGCGCGCGCGCTCTCCCTCTCCCTCTCCCTCTCCCTCTCCCGCGCGCCCGCCCGCCCAAGTGTGCCGCCAAGTTGGGGGGCTCGCGCTTGCCGGCCGCGGCCCGGGGCTCCCCCCACCCCGTCTCCCCGTCCCCCCGTCCTTCCCCCTACCGAGTCGCGCGGTGCCTGAGGCGGCGAGCCGGCTGAGGGTGTGTGTGTGTGTGGGAGTGTGTGTGGATGTCCCGGGCCGGGGCAGCGCGGGCGCCGCCGCCGCCGCCGCCGTCTCCGTCGCCCCGCCGCCATGATTCCGTCTCCCGCGCCGCCAAAGTTGGCGGTGCGCGCCTGGCGCTCGGCGGGGCTGCGGCCCGGGCCCGGGGATGGCGGGGAAGCGAGGGCGCCGGCGGCCGGGCGAAGAAGGCTTCTTTTTTTTTTTCTCCCCTCCTCAGCTCCCCCCCCTTTTTTTTTTTTTCCTCCTTTCCTTAGGATTTTTTTTTTGGGGGGGCGGCTCGGCGAGGGCCCCTGCCGGCGGGTGGCGGGAGCGGCCGGGGCTGCGCGGGGCGCCGAGGGTCGGTGGATGGAGCGGGACCGGCCGGGGCCGGGCCGCGGGCGGGGCGGCGCGAGGAGGCCGGGCGAGCCGGGGTCGCGGGCGGCGGGGTGGGCAGGGGCCGCGCGGCCTGGAGGGGGGTACGGGAGCGGCTCCTGGTGTCCCCCCTCCCCCCGTTCCCCGCCACCCCCACCCCCCAGGCCCTCGGGAGACCCCCGTCTCCGAGTCCCCACGTGGGTACGCGTCGCAGAAGCCCGGGGGGAGCCGGCTCTCCCTTCGCCGCCGCCGGGAAACTCCTGCAAAGTTCCCAGGCAGCTTTCGGCGGTGCCCAGGGGCTAGCCCCGGACCCCGGGGAATCCGGGAGAGGGGTGGGAAACGGTGGCATTCGTAGGTGACCGGCTTTGTGCCCTCTCTCCAGGACACCCCCTAGACATTTGGCTGTGAACAGATCATCCCCCCCCCAAAAAAAATAAACAGATGCGAGTTGGGGGGAGGGCAGGAGAGCTAAGGCCTCCTGGGCGAGTGGGGGTCGAGTTGGGGTCCGAGTTGGTTACGGTCGCTGTGTGTCTAGCATACCACCCATGTTGGCACTTGCAACTTGGTGAGTGTGTGTGTGGGGTGTCTTGTGTTGAAATGTTGACTTCCAGAACTCCAAAAATTAACGCCTCCCCCCAAGGGACCATGAAAAGCCCTGGCCGTGTGTTTTAAACTTCTTAGGGACACCGGCTGCTCTTTGGGATTTGGAAAAGGTTGAGATTTAGGGTGCCAGCTCGGCAGAGTTGAAACGCTCACACGTGGGCACAGAGCACCCCCCCCAAAAAAAAGCATGCAGTCACTGTATCACCTCAAATGGTTTCACCCCCTTTGGGTGACAGGCTTTGTCGGCAGGTAGGATTTTTTTTTTTTTTTGTCTCCCAGCCTTCTTGGTCAGGGTCTAGGATGGAAGGGCAGTGGGTTGCGTTGTCTGGCTGTGGGAAGCCCGAGACAGGCTCGATCTGGGATAGTTGCCCCCCGGGTCTTAAACCGGGACCTTTTGGGGTTGTGGGTCACAGTGGCAGGCAGCCCCTGGGACTCTGAAGCCCTGTTCTGGGCTTGCTGGCACCTGTGTTCAGCTCAAGTTCTTTTTCTAATGGGGAATGGCGGGAGGCGTACCGGGGTCTCCAGGTGCCCGGCATTTTGGCGGGGGCCCGCCCGCCGGTATTACTTTGCAGAAAGCCCTGCCATCTGCATCCAAGATGGACTCTCACAGTGGCTCCTCCGCCTTCCCTGTCATCATCCCTCACGCCCTCCAGCCCTGCCTCCTGCTCACCGAGTTGCCAAGCTGCGGCCTGGCCGGCGGTGGCAGTGGCGGAGTTAGACAAAGCCCCCGCCTCCCCCGCCCGCGAGTCGTCCCCCCCCCCCCCCCAGGCGCCCCAAGTGGCGGGAAGGCCGCCAGCTCCCCAGGCCCAGGCCGCTCTTTGTCTGGCGTGGGGGCGGGGAGCTGCGCCTGGCCCCTGGAGCTTCCTGGCCTCTGCCAAGCCCTCCCGGCTCTCTGCACACTGCGCTCATTGTCTGAGATGCTCCACACCGGCTGTGCTGACGTGGAGCCGCCTCCCTGGCCTCCCTCAGCCCAGGTGCCAGGGTCTTGGGGAAGGAGAGGGCCTGAGCGGAGGACCCTTCCAACACGACTCCCCAGGGGGGGCTGATACCTTCCCCAACACTGAATATGGGGCTGGCTTTGACACAGAGTCGGTCAGGTTCCTCTCCACTCCTCCAGGGGGATGGAAAGCCAAGCTCTGAGGTATTGCTTGAGGGCCTCCACCCGTATTTCTTCTTCCTCCCCTATCCCTCCCTCAGCCCCCTAATCCCATCCGCAACGCCATCAAATTGTAGGACAGATCTTCTGTTGGGGAGTGTGGCCTCAAACAGATGGAGAAACTGAGGCCCGCAGGGCTTTGACAGAGTTCCACAGCCAGGAGTGGCACTGCTGGGGCAGACCCCCAAGTCCGGGAGAGACGATGTGACAGGGAGGTGAGAAATGGCGAGAAGTGTGGGGAAACTCAGGAGGTGCTCCTGTCGCTTCAAGGGTGGCCAGTCTACCTTGTATGTGGTGCTGGAGTCCTCTAAAGGCTCTGTGATGGCACACCACCCCTTCAGCGTTTACCCCCCAGCCTTTCTGAGTCCAGAAAGGGCTTGACAACCTGGAATGGGCAGGATTAGAACTCACCTCCCGGCCTGTAAAGGAGCCGTCTCTGAAGGCTGGGGAAGTGGAATTTGGCCATGGTGGTGAGGAGGCTAGGGTTGTTCAAGTTGGGTGGCACATCCCTATGTGTGCTTTGCTCGGGAACCACTTCCATACTTGGTGCCCAAAGCTGGGTGTGCGATCTATACCTAGGGAAACGCTTCCAGTGCTGTCCCTGCTCGTGGATAGAGACAGGTGTTGGGGGTGTGAGCTTAACCACTTCCTGTGCAGTGTGGCTCACCCTGCAGCCAGGCCCTGGGATTCACTGCTCCTCCCAGCTCCAGCAAACCCAGCTCCTGAACTTCCTTCCTCCTGCCCCTCCCCTCGCCCACACCAAGTGAGCAGCTGGTGACTTGGCCAGCCTGGCACCAGCTGTCCATCCCCGGGGCCAAGTCTGCAGGGCCCGCTGTGTTCGTGAGAGACAGTTTGGCTCTGGGGGCGGCGGTCAGGCAGCTGCCGAGGAGGACTAGGTAAATTCTCCATGGTTACTGCTATTTGTAATTCGAAGGACATCCTTTCCCCGCCTAATGGCCACTTGGTTGCCATTATGGGTTTGCATGCTCTAGCCAGGGGCCTTCTCATTCCATATCCAGGGGATGACATTCTGTGCTGGGCTCTGGGCCCTGCTTTGTTCTGACTGCTGTACCTGGATAGTGTTCTCAAGTGCTAGATTCCATGCATGGGGGCTTATGCCTCTCTCTTTGGAGTGCAGAGTGCATGGTGTGTGTGTATGTGTGTATGTATGTGTGTGTGTGTTGTGTAGACAGTAGGGAGTTCTTTCTTTGGAGAGGGCATGAGAGCCCAGAGGGCTTGCGGGGCTTGTCTGAGGCACAAAGGCTGCTCTCCAGACCTGCTTTGTGTGCGCGCAGGGCACCTGTCCCCCTCTGGGGTTCTGTGCCTTGAGGTCTTTGCCGGTCTTCCTTGCTGTATTTGTCCAGCAGAGGTGGGTGCATAGGAACACAGAGGTGGCTGTATATAAGAAATTCTAGCCCAGGTTAGACCAACCTTGGTAGTTCTCAGCCTCTCGTGAGTGGGAGCAAGGATTAGGCTGGACACAGCTGTCAGCTTCAATTTTGGCAGGGGTTTCTCTCTTTTGGAGTCATGTGCATGGGCTAGGGAGGGCTGTGTCTTTTGAGGTCCTAGGTGTGTGGGGAGTGGCTCCTCTTTATGCACTTACTTTCATGCATCTAGACTGGTGTCTGGGCTGTGACCATTAGAGGTTGAGCTGAGGTCTCTGTCCTGTAAATCGAGTTCACAGGTGGGGGCCTGGATGGGGGCTGTTGCAGTAGCCAGTGCCCTGGGTACAGCTGTCTAAGGCTGGGGGTCTCTAACGTCTCCCTTTCTTCGCTGCAGGAAGCGTCCACTCGCCTTCTACGAGCATGGCGACATCCTCCCAGTATCGCCAGCTGCTGAGTGACTATGGGCCACCATCACTAGGCTACACCCAGGTATGGTAGTGTGGGTGCTGGGGGGAGAGATGGAGGGGACAAAGGCGGGTCAGAGCGTCCCCATGTTCTCCTGTGTTTCCTTAACCATGGTCGGGGCTTGGCTCCCATCCTTCACTTGATGGATTAGAACGCAGGGCACTGGGGACTGTTTCAGGGGACATGAGGGGCACAGGGAAGGGCCAGTGATCACTGAGCTGCTCAGGCCAGGTACATGTCTCTCTGGGTTCTTTTCCATATTTCCTGGGCAAGTAAGGTTCAACTGGTGTTGGACCTCTGTGCTGTGCCAGAGGGGTTGGGACAGCATATTTGGAGCTGGTGATGAGTGTGGTCCCCAGTCATCTCCTTGGTTTATAACTGGTTCCATCCTTTATGAGACCATGACCCTCTTGGAGACCCAAATCTCTGATCACTCCATTGCAGTGACCCCAGGGTCATGCTCAGGAGGCAGCTGGCTGCTACTGTGTCTTCAGGTGGGATCCGCAGGAGGGACATGCTGTGCATGAAGGTGTTTTTGCAACCCCGGTTGCCAACAGGAGAGTTCTTTCTGTGGGCCAAACCTTTAGCGAGTGTTCCGGGGTTGCCATGGAAGTCTCTCCTTGGCTAAGGAGGCTGTGCACAACCTCCAGTCATGCCCCGGCAGCCCATCCTGTCCCAGGAGGAGAAGGAGGCCCGGGCCCGGGAGCGGGACAGGCTGAAGAAGCGGCGACGGCGGGAAGATGGGCTGAGGCGCAGCCTGGAGCGGCAGCGCAACGCCCTGGCCATGCGGCGGCGGCGCTGGGAGAAGCGGGAGGCCAGGAGGCGCCTGTGCCAGGAGGCCGAGCTCCAAGGCCTGGCCTGCAGGCTGGGCGGCGAGGCTTGGGAGTGGAGGCAGCAGAGGCGAGAGGAGCAGGCCAAAGCCCTGGACCGAGAGCTGGCCACCATGGTCCAGCTGCGGCAGGAGGAGGAGAGGCCTGAGCCAAGGCCTTCACTGATCTGGGTGCTTGTTTGGGCCATAGCCTGGCGATAAAGGCCGTCTGTGGGGAGGATGCGGTGTGTGATAAGTTTTAGCCCCACCCTGGATCCTTGGTGATTGTTGAGGTCCTCCGGTGGTGACCTCTGTCTCCCACTCATTGTGGACGCCTGACTCCCAGGAGGAACCCCTCTCTGTCTCATGGATCCAGGTTCTCCCGTCACTTGTCACTTTTGTCTCGTGTGGATGGGAAAATGGTTTTCTGGATGGAGACTTGTATGCTTTCTGAGTTGGGGACAGAAGGCGAGGGCCTCTTGCCCTACTTAGAGTTGTACCTATGGAATACGCTCCAGCTGGAGCGGCCCTGGGAGCCCAAGGCTAGGCCACCTTCCCTCCACCCACGTGTGACCGACCACCAGGGTGGGACAGTCCATCCAAACCCTTGTTTTCTGGTCCTAGGGAACTGGAAATAGCCAGGTGCCTCAGAGTAAATATGCAGAGCTGCTGGCCATCATTGAGGAGCTGGGGAAAGAGATCAGACCCACGTATGCGGGGAGTAAGAGCGCCATGGAGAGACTAAAACGAGGTAAGCCAGGGGCGTGGCTAGGAGTCTCCAGGTTGCCGTCACTGTTGAAGGACTTCTGAAGCCAAACATGCTGCCGAGGTGCCTGTAGTCCCAGCTGCTTGGGAGGCAGAGGCAGGAGGATGACTTGAGCTAAGGGGTTTCCTAGCGGAAGCACTGGATGGAGGTGGTCAGGGAAGGGCCTTTGACTCATGGCTGGTGCTGCAGATGCATGTGCTGTTGGAGCTGCAGCAGGGGCAGCTGTAGGTACAGCAGTTGGGGATGGGGTGGGGGGCTCGTGGGGTTTCTGAGAAGGGCAGCCTGGCGGTGGGCGCTCCTTACTCCTCTACCTTGCCAGAGGGGCTCTGCTGGCCTATTGGAATTGTTGTATCCCTGCAGCTCTCCCCCTGCCTGTGCTCCTGTGGGGTCACACTGTAAGCCCCGGGTCTGCAGAAGCTGTCCTCTGATCTGGGGTTTTTAAACAGGGTTTCTCTGTGTAGCCCTGGTTGGCCTGAAACTCGCTCTGTAGACCAGGCTGGCCTTGACTCACATGAGATACATCTACCTCTGCTTCCTTAGTGCTGGGATTAAAGGCATGCACTACCATCACCTGACTGGATTTTTTTTTGTTTTTTTTTAATTGTGGTAAAATATATGTAACACACAATTTAACATTTTAATAATTGAAGTTCACTCATATTATTGTATGGCCATCACACCATTTGTATCCAGAACCTTTTCTTTTATCTTAGAAAATTGAAAGTGAGATTCTTCAGGGACTGAAAAGGGAGAGTGATGTCACAGAAAGCAAGGGACTCAGGTGTGAGAGGTGGCAGGGATGCTGAGCAGCGTGCTATCTCGTGACAGAGCTGCCGGGGCGGAGGTTGGGGGTGGGGGGGAGGGTTCTATTTCAGAAGTACAGAGGAGCCAGGGCTGTAGGTTCATTCATGATCAAGAGGGACTTGGTTGATTAAAAACCTTTCAGAATGAACCTGGGACAGAATGCAGATGGCCTGGACCTGTGGATCCCTGCTCTGTGGCAGAAGGCCGCACCGAAGTCAGACTTCCCAGCCATAGCCAGGCCAGCTGAGGAACAGGCTGTAGCTGAGGCAGACTTGGCCCGAGTTCCCGGGATCTCTGTGAAGAAGGAGACTTGACTTGACTGGAGTAGACTGGGTACATAGGGGACAGGACTGGAGATGGGAACTGGCTGAATGAGAGATGGGATCCCAGGTGACATGATGTTGCTTCCACGGCAAAGGAAGGGAGATAATTCTGGGAACTGGAGAGTTGGTTCCAGATAGGAATTCCTGGGAAGATGCTAACCTGTGAAGTCTTAAGCAGATTTGCATTCATCCCAAAAGCCAGTGGATCATATGTGGATGTGCCAAGTGGCCATTGCAGGACACATCCTGTGGGAGCTGCTGGCCCTACAAGAGTGAGGAAGACTTCAGGTCACCCTAGTCAACTGCCAAACCCATACAAGCTCATCACACCAGTGTGAAAACATTGAGGCTGTCCTCAAACTCCTGTCTTGATTCTGCCTTGAGAGTACTAAGATTACAGTGTGAGTCGCCATGCCTGGGCACAGCATTGTGTTTTTTTTAAAGAGGGGAGAACTGTATGTTGCTGGCCTTGAACTCCTCGGTTCAGATGATCTTCCATCACAGCCTCCTGAGCAGCCTGGCCTTTGCAGGTGTTTGGATGTAGACCCTCTCTGTTCCCCTCCAGAAGGAGGACTTCATGACTGGGGTCTAACCAGCAGGTCTTCTTCCTGCTCTGTGAATGGGCTGATGCCGTCTCTGTTTCTCTTACAGGCATCATTCATGCCCGAAGCCTGGTTCGGGAGTGCTTGGCTGAAACGGAACGGAATGCCAGGTCCTAGCCCCTGGCCAATGTGAAGGCCCATCTCGCTACCCCATGGAGATGAGAGGCTTTGTTCAAGATGGCAGTAGCTTTCCTGCCTTGGTCATTAAGCTCTGAACCCACATTCAGAAGATTGGAAGACATTTTGCAGTTACTGATGATGTGCATTTTAAGTAGTTAGGAACGATCCAGCTCTTTTTTTTCCAAGCATTGATTTGAAAGATGTTTGTGAAGCCACTTCACAGCAAGCTATTGTTTGCCCCCAAATACCAGTGTCCCCTTTAATCTCCCTTTGGATACATTTGCCATTTGCATCACCCCAGTTGACTTCCTGTCCATGAGCTCACCTGCCTCTGCGGACTCCAGTGCAAACCACAGTGCAAACCACATCGAGTTTGCTGTGTAGCTGGCCGGCCTGTGTACAGTGTAGACCCTGCTTCACGAGCTTCTCTGCTTACGCGTTTGCATGACTGAGTGCTTTGAAGTCAATCTCAAAAATGCACAAGTTATAAATACAGAAGAAAGAGCAATCTACCCAGCCTACCAAGCGCCCTGCAAATGTCCACCCTGAGACTGTAGATCTCAGTTCCATGTTTACTGTGAGACGATCACAACATCCGGAAGAAAACGACTGAAACTTGCATCTTTGTATTTATTACTTGATGTAATAAAGCTTATTTTCATTAAGAGTTTGTATTAAGATGTGGGGCCCTTGGGGTCTTAAGTACTTGTTTTTCTTTAGGGGAGGGCGGAGTCTTGCTAATTAATTAGAGTGATGCTGGCCTTGAACTCACAATCCTTGCCTTGGTTTCCCTGGTGTTGGGGTTACTGTTGAAGCTTTCTTTGGGGGAGGGCTTGGAGATGTCTGCTAAGGGCATTTCCTGTCTGGCCCAGGGGCTACCACTAGCACAGCCGGCTTCCGTCTCAAGGATAACAGAGATTCACAGTGTGGAATTCAAGTGTGCACAGCAGCATTGTGACTGGCTTGGAGAACTGCCGCTCCTCCACCATCCAGCAGGTAGGTGCTCCAAGGATCTCCTTTTGCTGGGCAATGTGGCTCACTCCTGTAGTCCCAGAACTTGGGAGACAGAGGCAGGAGGATCACATACTTTGTGCCAGTCAAGGCTACATAGTGAGGCATTGCTTAAAAAGAAGAGTATTTTTCATAACGTGATACGCTCTGGTGCTGAGGAAAGCGAGTCGAGCTTGGATGGATGGATTCACTGTGGGCTCCCCAGTATGTACCAGGGCTTGGGAGTTGTTGCGTGTGAAAACTGACCCTGCACCAGGCTTTGCTCTGAGCTGGATGAAGACAAGTATAGGATGTACAGTCAGTGTTGTGGGTGAGAAGCAAAGAGCCAGTCACAGAGTTCAAAGGCTGGCGGAGGGGCCATGGGCTTTGCTGCATCTCCATGGCAGAACATCTCCGTCTCCAGAGTGCAAAAGGAGACACAGAAGCTGCTCTTCCTGGCTACAGTTCTAAATTTGCCTTCCTGTGAGTTTCTTCTGTCACTTTCCCTAACTCCCTGCTCAAGGGAGCCTGACATAGGAAGGACCTAGCGTTACAACAGAGATCCCTGCTTGGAGCGTCCCAGGCAACAGCTTCCAGATGTATGTAGTAGTGCAGCGTGTCCAGCCTAGAATAGTTTGATGAACTGTCCCCCGACCCCAACAACCCCCCAAAGGTGAGACAGGTAACAGTGAGCCTCACCCCACAGTATTTTTCCCTATCTGTAGAGACTTTCCCCCCTTGAGACAGCGTCTCACAATGTCCCAGAACTCACAGAGATGAGGTCTGCCTCTGCCTTTTTTTTTTTTTTAAACATTTATTTATTTTGTATACAGCATGTATGACTACAGGTCAGAAGAGGGCACCAGATCTCATTACAGATGGTTGTGAGCCACCATGTGGTTGCTAGGAATTGAACTCAGGACCTCTGGAAGAGCAGTCAGTGCTCTTAACCTCTGAGCCATCTCTCCAGCCCCTGCCTCTGCCTCTGCCTCTTAACAGCTGGGATTAAAGGCGTGTACCACCTCTGGAATTCTAACAGGGAAAACGAAACAAATGAAAAACCACCTGTAGCTTTGTGTGGTGGTGCACGCCAGTAATCCTTGAAATTGGGGAGGCAGAGACAGAGGATCATGAGTTCAAGGCCAGCCTGGGCTAAATGAGACCTTAGCTCCAAAAACGAAAAGACTATAAAGTCTACTGGGTGATGGAAACAAATCAGGTTCTGGGACCTCATCTCTGAAAAATCTACTTGATCCTATACAAGGAATGATAGCTTTCGACATAATTGGCAAGTTCCATTTCCATTTCTGTTGCTGTGATAAAATACCCTGGCAGAAAGCAACTTATGAAAGGAAGAAATTTATTTAGCTTGCTGTTTCAAGTTACAGTCCATCATTTTGGGTGAAGTCAAGGCGGGAACTCAGTGTCACGTCACATTCACAGTCGAGAAGAGAATAAAAGCATCGTTTGCTCTATCTTAGTTAGCTTTCTCATGTTGTTCTGGATTCCTGCTTAGGGGATGATGCTGCCCACAATGGGCTGCGTTTTCCGACTTCAGTTAATAAGAATCCCCACAGACATCCTCATAATTTCTCACTAAGACTTTTCTCTGGTGATTCTAGGTTGTTTGTGAAGTTGACTGTTAAAACTAGTAAGCACAGCAGGTAGTAACAGTTCACTGTCATTTTCTTTTTACGAAAATCTCAGGATAAATGATACCTTAAGACAGCTCAGCAGTGGCCCTGGAATTGACAAGATACCACTAAATGCTGTTTGACTCAACTTGCCATAGAAGTGGGCTTAACTACTACTATCAGGGCTTTTTCAAACTGTTTTGATCTTAACGGTTTATTGGTTATTTTTGTGTGTGATGAGTGCGGGCATACATGTCACAGTTATGAGAGGAGGTCGGAGGACAACTTTGTGGAGTCAGTTCTGACTCAGGCTGTTGGGCTTGTGGGACAAGGGCTTCTGCCCAGGCCTCAGCCTTGGCTCTCTCAAGTGCTGAGACTGCAAGCATACACCACCACATCCACCTCCAGGATGCTTTCTCAGATGGTCCAACACGGGCCGGGTGTTACCACCATTATTCCCGGAACCCCCCCGGCACACCAGCAGCTTCGGTCCTTTTCTCGGTGATGTTCTGACTGGCTTCCCATAATTCTTTCAACAACCTCTTCTTTTCCAGAGTCTCCTTTGCTCTTTTCTTCCTCTCTCTCTTTCTCCTCTCAGCCTCAAGCTTCTCTCTGTGAACAGGGCTGTTGTTACCATTGTAGAAAACGTCCACTTTCTCCTGGAGGATTTTCCGAGCGATCTTTCTGTTCTGATCCACAGATCGGGTTTGGTGGCACTGCAAGAGATCATGGCGGGAATGTGAGACCCGTGGCTGTGAGGAGATGGACGGCCTCAGAGGCCCTAGTCCCTCATCCACCCATCCTTCACAGGGAGAGGTCAGGAGGGCAAGGGCAGGAGCCCCTTGGAGTCAGCCATGTGGGTGCTGGGAATCAAACCCCAGTCCTCTGGAAGAGCAGCCGGTGCTCTTAACCACTGAACCATCTTTCCAGCCACAACAATAGCTTTCAACTCATTTAAGCAGTTTCCAATGATTACAGAAGCACTGACTGGAGTCTAGCTTGTGGCCAGGGAGTAACCCGTGCAGAATCCACATGTCATTCACAAGTGTGTATCTGGAGGACGAGGACGCATCTTTACTAACAGCTTATCACGACATTCAGGATGTGAAACTGACAGTGGCCAGGACCCCGCAGAGTTGATGGGCAAAGGAAATGCTGTGGCACAAGGGAGAGATTTCCAAAAGGAAGGGGAAGCTAGTGGCAGGGTCAGCAAGAAATACTTTGGAAGTTTGTTATGAATGAATCTCTCAAGGAGTAAAAGGAAGCAACTGTGGGTTTTAACTTCGTCTTCTTGGCTCGAGAAACTGGCCGGCCCTGAAGCAGCTACTGGGACTCTGGCCTCCCCTTTGGAAGGACTGGACCAGTTCCTTGTCTGCCTCCGGCAACGAGCACAGGGTTACGGACTCAGAGTTAGGATACAGAGTGCCCCTAGTGGTGGAGGATCTGCTGTTAGGTTGGCTCTACCTGGGAAATCTGTTTTGCCTTCAGGCTCCTGCAAGGCTGTGTGTGCTGCTTTGGGGCCCTCTAGTGATGACACGTGGCAGTGGCTGGCTGGCGGCTCTACTGGCCTGGCTCTTATTTCCGAGGCCGTGGGTTGGCTAGCAGTCTGGGCTGAAAATCACTTGGCCACTTGCTACACGTGCGGTCTGTTAGGAGCTGGTGCTGCCCTCGACGGGAGACCCCCTTCTGTAAGAGGATTCACACGGCAGCTGTGCGGGGCTTTGCCCCAGCTTCCGTCCGCCATCTCATTCTTTGTTAGGAAGGGCAGAGGGACGCGGAGGAGATGCCCCACCACTGAGGACTGAGCTAGCCAGCCAGCAGTCCATCAGGTCCACGCTGCCGACTAGGAGTGCCTTTGGGAGCAGCAGGCTTCAGGAAACCTGCCTGACAGCAGCCCTTGCTGGTGACACACAGCTAAGTTCAAGGACAACAGCAGAGCCCTGGCTCCTGAGACTGGGCAGGAGGTTCATCTCCAGAGGAACAGCTCAGGGCTTGGGTACATCTGCAGTGCCCTGATTATACTGGGTTGGCAGAGCATGCCAGTGCCAGAACGGACATGCCCCTCAGCTGAAACCTGCTGTGGCTGCAGACCTGGATGACTCCACATCTACCCGCCCCCTCCACGGTCTACCTTGACCACAATGCCGGAGGGCACGTGTTTGAGCACTACACAGTTACTGGTTTTGTTGGTGGCCTGGCCCCCCGGACCATGGCCTTTCACAAACTGTTCTTCAAGTTCCCTCTCATTCAGGGGAAGCAGAGCAGGACAGTCCTTCTTGCCTGCCACCTGCACCGCAGTGGCGGCCATTCCTGGGAAGCGCAGCGCTGGCTTCTGGAGCCCGAGTCCCCAGTTCCCCGAGCATATCCTGATCAGTGGTGCGGGGAAACGGAGCAAAGCCCGGGTGCTCATCGAGGACGCGGCTCCGTGTGGCAGGACCTGGGATGGGGAAAGAACAAGGCCATCTTTTCACTTTGCTCTCAAGATGACAGCCAGGCTTCAAACATAGCTTTTTATACAATCTTGGTGACAGTCCTTCATGCCCATGGCATGGTAGGGGACAAGCAAAGGCAGGTGACTCAGCAAGGCACACCTCTCTGGAGTTGCCCAGAATTCTGTCTATATCCTGTCAGCTAACACACATTTCCTTTCTTTTTTAAGCCTACAGCATGGGGTATTCCCATCCAAGTACTGACGAGGCCTGACCCTGCTTAGCTTCCAAGATCAATGCGTTCAGAATGGTATGGCCACAGACTACACACTTTCTTATAACACCAAAAATACCTTCAGAGCACCTGGAGGTGCTATCCCCTTAGGGAAGCGTGTGACATTTAAAGGAGCAGGGCTGTGGTTTGGTAAAGACATATTAAAGGGCACAGTGAGGAAGAATTAGGCCCTGAGTCAAGGGACAATATTTAAATGTGAAATCTATATTTGTGCAAGGATGACAGAATCAGTCTATTTTATAGCTGAGCTTCAAGTCTGACACAGTAAACTTGACTATCAATCAGTGCCCTGACTGTTGGTTTATAGTGCTGGCAGTTTCACGGAATTGAATGGGAACATCTGTTCCCTGGGATGCACTGCCAATAATGTGATCCAACTGGTCTTGTTACCAAATCAAGCAGTTTCTCCTAAGGCGCCCGTTAGGCTTAGACACCACAAAGGATGTGTGAGTGATGTTAAATGAAAGAGCTAGACCCATGAGCCAGCCAGAGAAGACACTCCAAATGACATGGGGATTGGGTATGCACGTCCAACCCATTCTTAACAAGTTACATCCCCAGCTTCAGGAAAGTCTGTGCTTTTAAACAGTGAAAGATTTCAATAAAGCTGGGTGTGGTCACCCATGCTAGCACTCAGGAGGCTGAGGCAGGAGGACCGCCAAGAATTTGAGACCATCCCAGGTTATAAGACCTGGTCTAAAAATCTAAAAAGATTTAACTAATGACTCAAGATACAGCATAACGCTGAAATCATTTAGCTGACAAGTGAACGGGACAGGGAGGGAATCCTAGCTCCAAGGTCATGGCCAACCCACAGGCTTCTGAGGTCTTCAAGGGGTCAAAGGTAAAAATGATCTGATAGGACTCCTTGTGAAAGGCCCAATTCATCAACTGGAAATTTGGTGAATTTGCTTTTCTCCACCCAGCTCACATTTGATAGAAAAGATCAGAGAAAAAAGTATTCTGGGGATGGCTCTGCTAATGACTTCTGGGGCTCTGGAGTACATCTTAGTGAGCTGCTTGGCAGCCAGGTAATCTCAACCACAGCTTATTTGTGGACTGTGCCTTGGCTGAGGGGTGTGCCCACACCAAGCATGGGGATGCTACTTTCACACTGCTTTCAATAGCAGCAGGAACCTGGTGACAGAGTCCTGGCAGTTGCTCTGTGACATAGGAGGAGCTGGCTTCTAAGATGACTGGACCTCCAGGACAGAAGTGCCCTGGAGGTTTACATTCAGCTTGCTTATTATCCCTAACCACTGTTACTGTGACTGCTGACACCGTTGTGTCTACCTGGCTGAATACTGGAGTGGACTCTTGATGAAGGCACACTGTACTTGGGTGCTTTCTCTTTCTTTCTTTCTTCCTTTCTTTTTCTTCCTTCCTCCCTCTCCCTCTCCCTCTCTCTCTCTTTCTTTCTCTCTCTCTCTCTCTCTCTCTCTCTCTCTTCTTTCTTTTGAGACAGAGTTTTTCTGTAACCCTGGCTGTCCTGGAACTTGCTGGGTAGACCAGGCTGGCCAGAACTCAGAGATCCTCCTGCCTCTTCCTCCCCAGGGCTGAGATAATAGGTGTGTACCACCACTGCCCGGCTTGTTTATTTTTTTAATTTTACTTATTTATGTTTTTAAAACTTATTTTATTTCATCATCATCACTATTATTGAGACAGGATCTCTATTATGTAGCTCTGGCTGTCCTGGAACTTGCTGTATAGAACAGACTGGCCTCAAACTCCCAGAGATCTGCCTGTCTCTGCCTCCTGAGTGTTTGGCTTAAAGGCATGTGGCAGCATGCCCTTCGCCACAAGAGGGTGCTGGATCCTGCCTGATACAGAGTGACAGACAGTTGTGAGCCACCATATATGTATATATGCTGGGAATTGACCTCAGAGCTTCTGTAGGAACAGAAAATGTTCTTAACAACTGAGCAGCTCTCCAGCCCCTACTTAATTGTATTGTTTTGAGACAGGATCTAAAGCTGGGCTTGACTTTCTTACCCTCCTGCCTCCATCTCCTGGGCTCCGGGAGTCCAGGTGTGCACCACCATGCGCGCGCGCAGCTCCTGTTTCTTCCCCCACCTCTTTCCTTCCTCCCTTCCTCTCCTGCTTTCCGTCTGTCCTTCTGTCCTTATTTTGAGGTAGGTTTTCGTTGTGCAGCCCTGGCTGACCTGGCACTCTGTAGACCTAAGACTAAAGGCACGAGTCACCATGTCCACCCTCCTGCTGGTTTAAATGCAAAGCTTCTGAGTTGCCAGAAGAGTTGGTAACTGCGCTGATGCTGGGCGTCTTTGAACTTCTTTCTCTATGGGAAATGAATACGATGAACGAGAACATGTGGTCTTCTCAAGCCTTGCTACTGCTTGCTTTCAAGTCTGTGACAGCACGGTCTAAGCCCACGTCTTCCTTCTGTGACAGTCAATGTGACCTGCCATACCGATGGGTGATATTTAAGACAATAGTGGGAGGTGCTTCTGTGGAGGGGCGTATATCAAGATCCACAGCAATGAAAATGACGCTTTAAACTATTTTTGCAGGGGAGGAGGCTGGAGAGATGGCTCAGTGTTAAGAGTGCACGTTGTTCTTACAGAGGACACGAATTACGTTCCCAGCACCTACACTGGGGCACTCCTTCTAACTCCAGTTCCACTCTTGGTAGGAACTGACTCCTGAAAGTTACCCTCTGACCTCCACATGAGCACCGTGGAACACATACGCATATGTAAAAAAAATTTTTTTAAGCACTAATAAAAATACTGGTTTTGTTCAATGAATATGAAATATTTTAGAAGTATCCTTAAGAAAACGTAAGAGGGCCAGGCGGTGGTGGCACACACCTTTAATCCCAGCACTTGGGAGGCAGATGCAGAACTCTGTGAGTTCAAGGCCAGCCTGGTCTACACAGAGAAACCCTTTTTTTTTTAAGTGAAAAAAAGGAAAACAGTCAGTGATAAACGAGGTGTGGTGGCCCCGAAACTGTAACCCCAGAACTCGAGAGGCAGAGGCAGAAGGATCTGAAGTTCAAGGCTAGGCCAAGAGTCATAAGATTCTGTCTCAAAAGAACAATAATCAAGGGCAGGTGAGATGGTTCAGTGGGTAACGATGCCTGCCACCAGACCCGATGGCCGGAGTTACAGCTAAGGAACAACAGGAGAGAACTAGCTCCCAAAACTTGTCCTCTGACCTCCAGATACGTGCTGTGGCACACACCTCTTCCCTGACAAAATAAAATGTAATTCAACACAAAACAACCCCAAATAAACAAAAAAGAAAATGTGACGAACCCAGACACTATAATCATGGACGGGGCTAAGTTAACGTCCAAAATGGCCATTTTCTTATTTCTGCTTTCAATGTACAGAACAAAATTCCGTTGTGTAGCAGAAGGCTTCAAGTCCCTGGAGTGGACTGACCATGGAATCTGAGCCCAGGGTCTCTCCTGAGTGTCTCTTCCGCCAGTCAGTGAACTGACCGGACAGGACAGTAGTGATAATACAGCACTGTGACAAAGACAGGAAGCCTGTCTGGAACAGGCCAGACGCGCAGACAAAGGCCAGCAGGGAGAGTGCTTTCATCAGCAGCTGTCAGGGCCACCAGCTCCGTCTCTGCCCTTCTGTCTCAGTTCAGAGCTGACAGACACCCTGGAAGATCTCCCACCCAACTGAGTTCAAGCAGGTCCCCCCAGTGTTCAGTGACTGACTCCTTTGTTGAATGGTTAATTCCAGCAGCCAATCAGACAATGCGAGACACTTCTAGCATCTCCTGGGGCTTTGGCCCTACTCCAGTGACTGCTAAAAATGACAAGCACACCCATGGCTCTGCTTCCCCAGAGCCCAGAGAATACAGACTGGATTTCAGGTTTTGTGATACCACAGTGCAACCCGAAGTCTTTGGAAACAATAAAACCAGCTCGAATTCTGGCTCATTGTGACATTAAAAAAAATACACGAGAAAATGACAAAAAGAAGTGCCAGTAAGGGGAAACCAGCAGCCGGGAGCTCTGCCCCAGTTCCCTTCTGGAGTGTGGGCTTCTTTAATTTAGGGCTGGCTCCGCACCTGACTTCCCTGGCCCTCCCTTTTCTTTGCTGATCGCTTCAGCTATTCAAGAGCCAAGGAAGTTTGAATTAAAGCCTCTCATTGTCCGAGTCCCAACTTGGTCAAGTGTAGAGAGAATGGGTCTGCCAGACCTTCCAAAAGGGAGTATGAATTTTTCCGATGGAAAATCCGGTTAAATATCTGCTAGGCATCAGGCATAGCCGCAAGGAGCATGAGGAGTTTGCCCATCACAGAGACATGAAGACATGTATGTAGAAATACAAGAGATGCTCTAGCCTAGGCTGTGACAGAGGTGGACCCCAGATCACCCACTGCGCTCTTGTCAGGATTTGGAACTGGCGATCAATTTATGCCTCTTCTCACCATTTCTGGTTCACAAACATTTCTTCCTCCAGCCTCCCAGATCACCCCGAACCTGGGAGGACACAGCTGCAGGGATGGCCCGCTCTAACTCTGTAGCAAAGCCTGAGCCAGAGCCATCCCAGGTCAAAGGAGATCGTAAGAGGCCATGCTGTGTTTCAACAGTCAAAATGCTGTGGATGGGGGCAGAGGGTCCTTTTTCTGTCTCTCTTTTTCTTTTTGTTTTTTTTTTTTTCGAGACAGGGTTTCTCTGTGTAGCTTTGCGCCTGTCCTGGATCTTGCTCTGTAGACCAGGCTGGCCTC